GCCCCCCTCCCCCCACTGATCCCAGATCTAGCCCCCCTCCCCCCACTGATCCCAGATCTAGCCCCCCTCCCCCTCACTGATCCCAGATCTAGCCCCCCTCTCCCCTCCCCTGATCCCAGATCTAGCCCCCCCCTCCCCTCCACTGATCCCAGATCTAGCCCCCCCCTCCCCTCCACTGATCCCAGATCTAGCCCCCCCTCCCCTGATCCCAGATCTAGCCCCCCCTCCCCTGATCCCAGATCTAGCCCCCCCTCCCCTGATCCCAGATCTAGCCCCCCCCTCCCCTGATCCCAGATCTAGCCCCCCCTCCCCTGATCCCAGATCTCCCCCCCCTCCCCCCCCACTGATCCCAGATCTCTCCCCCCCCCCCCCCCCCGATCCCAGATCTACCCCCCTCCCCCCCGATCCCAGATCTACCACCCCCCCCCCCCCACTGATCCCAGCTCTACCTCCCCTTCCCCCCCCCCCCCCCCACTGATCCCAGCTCTACCTCCCTCCCCCCCCCCCCCCCACTGATCACAGCTCTACCATCCCTTCCCCCCCCCCCCCCACTGATCCCAGCTCTACCTCCCATCCCCCCCCCCCCCCCCCCCCCCCCCCCCACTGATCCCAGCTCTACCTCCCTTCCCCCCCCCCCCCCTGATCCCAGCTCTACCTCCCTCCCCCCCCCCCCCACTGATCCCAGCTCTACCTCCCTCCCCCCCCCCCCCCCACTGATCCCAGCTCTACCTCCCTTCCCCCCCCCCCCCACTGATCCCAGCTCTACCTCCCTTCCCCCCCCCACTGATCCCAGCTCTACCTCCCTTCCCCCCCCCACTGATCCCAGATCTACCTCCCTCCCCCCCCACTGATCCCAGATCTACCTCCCTCCCCCCCACTGATCCCAGATCTACCTCCCTCCCCCCCCACTGATCCCAGATCTACCCCCCCCCCCACTGATCCCAGATCAACCCCCCTCCCCTCCACTGATCTACCCCCCCCCTCCTTTCCAGCGAGATCCCGGACCTCCCTCCCCCCCTTCCAGCGAGATCCCGGACCTCCCTCCCCCCCCTTCCAGCGAGATCCCGGACCTCCCTCCCCCCCTTCCAGCGAGATCCCGGACCTCCCCTCCCCCCCTTCCAGCGAGATCCCGGACCTCCCTCCCCCCCTTCCAGCGAGATCCCGGACCTCCCTCCCCCCCTTCCAGCGAGATCCCGGACCTCCCTCCCTTCCCCCCCCCTTCCAGCGAGATCCCGGACCTCCCTCCCCCCCTTCCAGCGAGATCCCGGACCTCCCTCCCCCCCTTCCAGCGAGATCCCGGACCTCCCTCCCCCCCTTCCAGCGAGATCCCGGACCTCCCTCCCCCCCTTCCAGCGAGATCCCGGACCTCCCCCCCCCCCCCTTCCAGCGAGATCCCCCGGACCTCCCTCCCCCCCTTCCAGCGAGATCCCGGACCTCCCTCCCCCCCCTTCCAGCGAGATCCCGGACCTCCCTCCCCCCCTTCCAGCGAGATCCCGGACCTCCCTCCCCCCCTTCCAGCGAGATCCCGGACCTCCCTCCCCCCCCCTTCCAGCGAGATCCCGGACCTCCCTCCCCCCCTTCCAGCGAGATCCCGGACCTCCCTCCCCCCCCTTCCAGCGAGATCCCGGACCCTCCCTCCCCCCCTTCCAGCGAGATCCCGGACCTCCCTCCCTCCCCCCCCCTTCCAGCGAGATCCCGGACTCCCTCCCTCCCCCCCCCTTCCAGCGAGATCCCGGACCTCCCTCCCGCCCCCCCGACCCCCCCCCTTCCAGCGAGATCCCCCGGACCTCTCCCTCCCTCCCCCCCCCCCTTCCAGCGAGATCCCGGACCTCCCTCCCTCCCCCCCCCCTTCCAGCGAGATCCCGGACCTCCCTCCCCCCCCCTTCCAACGAGATCCCGGATCTCCCTCCCCCCCCCCTTCCAACGAGATCCCGGATCTCCCTCCCCCCCCTTCCAACGAGATCCCGGATCTCCCTCCCCCCCCTTCCAACGAGATCCCGGATCTCCCTCCCCCCCCCCCCTTCCAACGAGATCCCGGATCTCCCTCCCCCCCCCTTCCAACGAGATCCCCCCCCTTCCAACGAGATCCCGGATCTCCCTCCCCCCCCTTCCAACGAGATCCCGGATCTCCCCTCCCCCCCCCCCCCTTCCAACGAGATCCCGGATCTCCCTCCCCCCCCTTCCAACGAGATCCCGGATCTCCCTCCCCCCCCCCCTTCCAACGAGAGATCTCCCTCCCCGGATCTCCCGGATCTCCCTCCCCCCTTCCAACGAGATCCCGGATCTCCCTCCCTCCCCCCCTTCCAACGAGATCCCGGATCTCCCTCCCTCCCCCCCTTCCAACGAGATCCCGGATCTCCCTCCCCCCCCCCCTTCCAACGAGATCCCGGATCTCCCTCCCCCCCCTTCCAACGAGATCCCGGATCTCCCTCCCCCCTTTCCAACGAGATCCCGGACCTCCCTCCCTCCCCCCCTTCCAACAAGATCCTGGACCTCTCCTGCCTCCCTTCCAGCGAGATCCCAGTTTCTCCACATTCCCTGGCAAAACTCAGATCCCCCCCCAATGAGATCTCGGGTCTCCCCCCTGTCCATCAGATCCATATCACCCTCATTCTCTCCTAATTACCCCGATCCCAGCTCTCACTCCCCCTCCCCCACCTCCATTTTATCATAACGCCCCATCTGATCGTTAATCCCCTCCCCCATGAGGGTGACAACTTCATGGTGCAAAAAAAAGAACATTGTTGTCATTATTAACAGGGAAGAGATGAAGCTGAATCTGAGTGCGGAAGGGGGGGGGAGGGGAGGGTGATGGCTGTGGATGTGACGGTCTGTTCTCTGCACACAGGTCGTGTCTCTTCTGCCGGAGGATCTGCAGCCCGGACCGGACTTCCACGGCTGTTCCTGGGAGGTGGTGGTAGTCACGGCGCTGGTCGGGTGGCTGTCCATTTTGGCGTTTTTCTGCAGAACTGTGCGATGTGTAAGTACCGCCCACCGCGTCCCCCCAACCGGAGAACCCGATAATGAGATGCAAAGGCAGCCGGGAGGGTTGTACGCCGAAAAATAACGAAGCCTCCTGCCACGATAGGCGTGCAATAATGCTGCCCAACACGCCCCCATCAAATGATTGGGGGGGGGGTAGGGGGCGTGTCATGACTGCTGTGGTGGTCCAGGCTTTACGGAGTTAAAAAACAGGCGGTGAGGAGGCGACCAATTGCTTCCACCCGCCGGTCAAATATCCTCCAAAACTCTTTTTCTAATGCCGACCCCCCCCCCCCCCCCCCCCCCCCGGTCCAGCGTGACCCCAGACCTCCCCTTCCCCCCCGTCGTCCAGCGAGACCCCAGACCCCCCCCCCCGTCCAGCGAGACCCCAGACCCCCCTCTCCGGCAAGATTCTGGACCCCCCCCCCCCCCCCCCCGTCCAGCGATATCCCGGACCTCTCCCCCGTTCAGCGAGATCCCGGGCCTCCCCCCTCCCGCCCCATTTAGTGAGATCCCGGACCTCCCCCCATCCCCCCGTTCAGTGAGATCCCGGACCTGCCCCCCCCCCGTTCAGCGAGATCCCGGACCTGCCCCCCCCCGTTCAGCGAGATCCCGGACCTGCCCCCCCCCGTTCAGCGAGATCCCGGACCTGCCCCCCCCGTTCAGCGAGATCCCGGACCTGCCCCCCCCCCGTTCAGCGAGATCCCGGACCTGCCCCCCCCCCGTTCAGCGAGATCCCGGACCTGCCCACCCCCCCGTTCAGCGAGATCCCGGACCTGCCCCCCCCCCGTTCAGCGAGATCCCGGACCTGCCCCCCCCCGTTCCGGACCTGCCCCCCCCCGTTCAGCGAGATCCCGGACCTGCCCCCCCCCGTTCAGCGAGATCCCGGACCTGCCCCCCCCCCGTTCAGCGAGATCCCGGACCTGCCCCCCCCCCCCCCCCGTTCAGCGAGATCCCGGACCTGCCCCCCCTGCCCCCCCCCCCCCCGTTCAGCGAGATCCCGGACCTGCCCCCCCCGTTCAGCGAGATCCCGGACCTGCCCCCCCCCGTTCAGCGAGATCCCGGACCTGCCCCCCCCCCGTTCAGCGAGATCCCGGACCTGCCCCCCCCCCCGTTTAGCGAGATCCCGGACCTCCTCCCCCCCCCCCCCTACCCGTTCAGCGAGATCCCGGACCTCCCCCCCCCCCCCGTTCAGCGAGATCCCGGACCTCCCCCCCCCCCCCCCGTTCAGCGAGATCCCGGACCTGCCCCCCCCCGTTCAGCGAGATCCCGGACCTGCCCCCCCCCCGTTCAGCGAGATCCCGGACCTGCCCCCCCCCCCGTTCAGCGAGATCTTGGACCTGCCCCCCCCCCCCCCCCGTTCAGCGAGATCCCGGACCTGCCCCCCCCCGTTCAGCGAGATCCCGGACCTGCCCCCCCGTGCAGCGAGATCCCGGACCCCCCCCCCCCCCCCCCCCCCCCCCCCCCCGTTCAGCGAGATCCCGGACCTCCCCCCCCGTTCAGCGAGATCCCGGACCCCCCCCCCCCCCCCCCCCCCGTTCAGCAAGATCCCGGACCTTCCCCCCCCCATTCAGCGAGATCCTGGACCTCTCCCCCCGCCCCCTGTTCAGCGAGATCCCGGACCTCCCCCCCCCCCCCCCCCCCCGTTCGTTCAGCGAGATCCTGGACCTCCCCCCCCCCGTTCAGCGAGATCCTGGACCTCTCCCCCCCCCCCTGTTCAGCGAGATCCCGGACCTCCCCCCCCGTTCAGCGAGATCCCGGACCCCCCTACCCCCCCACCCCGTTCAGCGAGATCCCGGACCCCCCCCCCCCCCCCCCCCCCCCCCCGTTCAGCGAGATCCCAGGACCTCCCCCCCCCCCCCCCCCGTTCAGCGAGATCCCGGACCCCTCCCCCCTAATGCAGGCCATACATGGCTCGAATCCTGAACGATTTTTCGTCCAAAAATCGAAACATCGTTCGTTCTATAATCCGATGGTGCCACCAATGATTTTGAAAATCGGTCGTTTTTCACTAATTTTCCAACATGCCTGATAAACGAAATGGAGAGGAACCACGAAAATCGGCCGGCACCATTACCCCACTAACAGAACGAACATCGGCCGATTTTTCTTAGGTCAGATTTTTGTACGAAAATCGTTGGGAATTGGAACCGTGTATGGCCGGCATAAGCCGAGCCCCATAGAGCGGAGTTTAGTAAAACTCATCCAGAATGCATGTACAGCGACTGCCGTGTATTCCATCGGCCCTCGATCACACCAGCATGGTCATTACCATACAACGGGCTGATTTTTAAAAACATTTTTTTTTTTTTGGATGGAATGCAACAAACTGCGTGTGAGCACACCGGATCGTACGTAAGGAACCATTGTCCGAAGATTGTCAAATGGAAAAAATGTCCTGGAATGCATAGAAAATGTATCCGGAACACTGAAATTGTGGTGTGAAGCAGCCCCGGGGGTTTTGGGTTTGATTCTCAGCAGAGCATTGTCTTGGCCGTGGTTTGTGATCCGTGTTGTGACATTTATTTATTTTTGTTTGTTTCAGATCAAAAGCCGATTTTACGCAGGTTGGTCTCTGTGTTTATTTTTCATATCTTGGTATCTTTGTGATGTTATCTTGTCACACTATTGGACTGTAAGTCTTTGAGCCGTCTCCTTATCCTCATGTATTGTATCTGTACTGTCCTCCTTGTGTTGTATAGTACGGCACAAACTGTTGGTGCTATATAAATCCTGTAATTATTATAATAATCATAATAGTAATATAAATCCTGTATAATAATAATATACATCCTGAGTAATAATAACACGATGCATCCTTATAATCATATGCATCCTTAATATTAATATAATAATATGCATCCTTAATATAAATCCTGTATTATAATATTAATATAAATCTAGTATAATATACATCCTGAATAATAATATGCATCCTGTATAATATTAATATAAATGCTGTATTATAATAATAATATAAATCCTGTATAATAATAATATACATCCTGAGTAATAATAACACGATGCATCCTTATAATCATATGCATCCTTAATATAAATGCTGTATTATAATAATAATATAAATCCTGTATAATAATAATAATAAATAATATACATCCTGAGTAATAATAACACGATGCATCCTTATAATCATATGCATCCTTAATATACCGTATTTGCCGGCGTATAAGACGACTTTTTACCCCTTAAAAATCTTCTCAAAAGTCGGGGGTCGTCTTATACGCCGGTATACGGCATACTGACACTTTTTAGGGGGGCGGCGCGTTGCCGCCGCCGCCCCCCCCTTCCCCCAATGGAAGGGACACTAAGTACAGGGGTTTCTTACCTGGTTCCGGTCCCATCATTGGTGTCACTGATACCAATGATGGAGCACTATTCCTCCCACTGATACCAATGATGGGGCACTATTCCTCCCACTGATACCAATGATGGGGCACTATTCCTCCCACTGACACCAATGATGGGGCACTATTCCTCCCACTGATACCAATGATGGGACACTATTCCTCCCACTGACACCAATGATGGGGCACTATTCCTCCCACTGACACCAACGATGGGGCACTATTCCTCCCACTGACACCAATGATGGGGCACTATTCCTCCCACTGACACCAATGATGATGGGGCACTATTCCTCCCACTGACACCAATGATGGGGCACTATTCCTCCCACTGACACCAATGATGGGACACTATTCCTCCCACTGACACCAATGATGGGGCACTATTCCTCCCACTGACACCAACGATGGGGCACTATTCCTCCCCCCACTGACACCAATGATGGGGCACTATTCCTCCCCCCCACTGACACCAACGACGGGGCACTATTCCTCCCCCCCACTGACATCAACGATGGGGCACTATTCCCCCCCCCCCCCCCACTGACACCAATGATGGGGCACTATTCCACCCCCCACTGACACCATTCCTCCCACTGACACCAATGTTGGGACACCATTCCTCCCACTGACACCAATGATGGGGCACTATTCCCCCCACTGATACCAATGATGGGGCACTATTCCTGCCACTGACACCAATGATGGGGTACTATTCCTGCCACTGGTGTGCATTGGAAGAGGGGTAGTCTTATACGGCGAGTATAGCTCAAACACTAAATTTTAGCAGGAAAAGTAGGGGGGTCGTCTTATACGCCGGCAAATACGGTAAATCCTGTATTATAATATTAATATAAATCTAGTATAATATACATCCTGAATAATAATATGCATCCTGTATAATATTAATATAAATGCTGTATAATATGCATCCTGAATAATTTAATAATACGCATCCTGAGTAATAATAATACTATGATGCATCCTTCTAATCATATACGTCCTGTAATATAATAATATGCATCTGGTATAATATTACTATGAATTCTGTACAATAATATATCTTTTATAATAACTATACATCCTTAATTATAATATACATCCTGTATTAATAATCATAATCTAATACATCCTGTATAATAATATATAGCATGTATATATAATAATAATAATATGCATCTTGAATAATGACGATGATAATAATCATCCTGTATAATAATAATCATCCTGTAATAATATAATCGTAATAATCCTGTATAAATACAGTCAGGTCCATAAATATTGGGACATGGACACAATTCTAACATTTTTGGCTCTATACACCACCACAATGGATTTGAAATGAAACGAACAAGATGTGCTTTAACTGCAGACTGTCAGCTTTAATTTGAGGGTATTTACATCCAAATCAGGTGAACGGTGTAGGAATTACAAAAGTTTGCATATGTGCCTCTCACTTGTTAAGGGACCAAAAGTAATGGGACAATTGGCTTCTCAGCTGTTCCATGGCCAGGTGTGTGTTATTCCCTCATTATCCCAATTACAATGAGCAGATAAAAGGTCCAGAGTTCATTTCAAGTGTGCTATTTGCATTTGGAATCTGTTGCTGTCAACTCTCAAGATGAGATCCAAAGAGCTGTCACTATCAGTGAAGCCATCATTAGGCTGAAAAAACAAAACAAACCCATCAGAGAGATAGCAAAAACATTAGGCGTGGCCAAAACAACTGTTTGGAACATTCTTATAAAGAAGGAATGCACCGGTGAGCTCAGCAACACCAAAAAGACCTGGAAGACCACGGAAAACAACTGTGGTGGATGAGTGAAGAATTCGGAGTTGCAAATTAAAGCTGATAGTCTGCAGTTAAAGCACATCTTGTTTGTTTCATTTCAAATCCATTGTGGTGGTTTATAGAGCCAAAAATGTTAGAATTGTGTCCATGTCCCAATATTTTTGGACCTGACTAATAATATTTTGCATCCTGAATAATAATGATATTATGAATCCTGTAGTATAATAATATATATCATGAACAATAATAATAATATATGTTTTGTCTTTTCTCGTTTTGTTCATTTCTTGTATATTTATTTCCAGGCCGGGAGTCGAAGCTCGGGGATCAGGTCACTGAAATCCTGAACAGCAAAAGCGAAGTCTTAGAGAAACTGAGCATCGTACAGAAACAGGTGAGGTCACAGGGGGCGGACTCATTTGATCTTAGTGGAGATTGCTATTGGCCTATCACTCTGATGAGCGGCTTGACTAGCCAATAGTGAGGCGGATAGACCAGATTCCTAGCTAAAACCTGCATTGGTGTGATAGTTCTCCCTGAAGGCAAACACCTGGCAGCTCACTGACCTTTATCACCACTAAGAAGGAGTTCATAATGACGATGAAGGGGGTCAAATTAATGTTTTGTTTTTTAATTGCAGTGATGAAAAAATTAGAAGGAGCGGGGTGGAAATGTTTTTTTTCTTAAACAAACAAATTTTCAATAGTAAATGTGGTTTTTATGCAGATTATTAGATTCACTCCAAAATCGAATGTTAACAGCAAACAAAGTTTTGAAGTCCTTTCAAACAACATTCACCTGGTTGTCAAATGTGTAAAGAATTTTCCATTGCAAATTTGCATCCCATTGACTTCAATGTTAAAACACCCCCTATTGACTTGGCAAAAACGCCTCTATTTAGGTTTTTTTCTTAATTTTCTAAATATTTAATTTTCTGTCCAATTTTCGTGTGTTACTTTCAATAAAAGTTATTTTAAGTTACTGGATTGTATTTTTGTGAATTCATATTCATTTAAATTCATGATATTAATTAAAAAGTCGAATATAATATTATTTTATATATATATAAATAAAACGGGTGGACTGACAACTCCTGGGGCCCCCAGGCAATAGGGGATCATGGGGCCCGTGTCCTCGCCCACACTCAAACCACACCCAAAAAAGCCTATGAAAGGTACCACGGGCATCTCATGGGGCCCCCTACTGAGCCCGGGTCCCCTGAGTTCCCAAATGGTCAGTCCGCCCCTGATTATTTTTATATATATATATATAATTATTATTTTTTTTTTTTTATAAACTGTCCATTTCAGTTTCGTTTTTGGTTTTCGTCCAAGAGCATCCTGAATTTTCGGTCCAGAATTTTCATTTTGGCGCACCACTCTCCATCTTGGTGCACCAGTGAGCACTGGAGGGGCAGAGCACAGAGCCGGTGACTGATAGTCACCGCTCTCTGCTCAGAGCGGACCAGAGAGCTGAGCGATCAGCAGTCACATGATCACTCAGTTCTTGGGCTTGGAGGCAGCAGGGGGAGGTGAGTATAGATGTGTGGTTTTTTTTTTTTTTGTTTGTTTTTTTGATTACCCGTCACTTCTCCTTTAGGAGACAGCAGTAAGCACATGACTAATGCTGTGTATATTTCCTCTTCCTCCCTCAGTATGATGAGGTCCAGCAGACCCTGCAGGAGTCCGGACATCACAAGTTACTGGAGGAGATCACCAAGCAGAAAGTAAGAAAAAGAGGAAGCTTGTAGTTTTTTTGTGATGTTTCTCAATGCAGTACCAGGAGGGCGGGCACATCCATTGCACAGGCTGTGTCTGCTCAGTCCCCCCAGGGATAAAGGCAGCCCATCCATGAGTGTTTTTTTTTTTAACTTCCACCAGCAGGTCGAATAACTCGATTCCCCAACACATCCACACCCCAAAGCCAACCCTAACCTGTAACTATACTACCGTTGCCTGCCAATATTCTGCCCTGCCGGCAGCGACCCCTGTCCTCGGCCCTGCCGGCAGCGACCCCTGTCCTCGGCCCTGCCGGCAGCGACCCCTGTCCTCGGCCCTGCCGGCAGCGACCCCTGTCCTCGGCCCTGCCGGCAGCGACCCCTGTCCTCGGCCCTGCCGGCAGCGACCCCTGTCCTCGGCCCTGGCGGCAGCGACCCCTGTCCTCGGCCCTGGCGGCAGCGACCCCTGTCCTCGGGCCTGGCGGCAGCGACCCCTGTCCTCGGGCCTGGCGGCAGCGACCCCTGTCCTCGGGCCTGGCGGCAGCGACCCCTGTCCTCGGCCCTGGCGGCAGCGACCCCTGTCTTCTGGCCCCTGACTTTTTTTTTTTTTCCACTGCACCCCAAAGGAGTCAATCACAAGATCAATTCCTCTTGAATAAAAACAGCTGTAGGTTAGTAGAAATTCGACCACTAAACCGGCCAAATTTCGATCCATTTATGGCCAGCTTTAGGGGTTATATGAAGGTCACTTGGGTTCAGAGACCCCCAAAGTGTCATCTAGATCCGATCAAAGCTCACTTCAGTCTTGTTGTTCGACGTGCCCACAGAGACCTGCGACATGCCTGTGCATTTGCGATCAGGAGTTTCAAGATTGCGGCATGGAGGGGGAGTGGTGCAATTTTTTTTCTGGGTCAAAAAAAGTCCAAAAATGCCGGTTTGCATGGTTTTTCAGCGTTAGAGCGTTTTTTACAGCTAAAAAACTCCTCCAGAAACCCACTAATTCTGTTTTTTTTCCAGCCAAAAAACATTGATTCCAGTCTACTTGTGTATGGACACATAGGATAACATGCTGGGGGGTTTACTGGCTGTAGAAAAAAACGTCAAACGCTAAAATCAGGCGCTGTAAAAACGTCCCGTGTGCAGGAGGACTAATACGGAGTCATGTCAGAGCTTACTGACCTTCAAAGAGGGGAAATTGTTGGTGCCGGTTAGCTGGCGCCTATGCGACTGAAGTTGCCAATTTATTTGCCGTGTCGCGAGGTCCAGGGTCAAAGGTTATGGCGGTGTATACAGTCTCAGGGAAAACGTCTGATAAGCGCGGTCGTCATGGTCAATTGACCGAAAGAGTTAGAAGGACATTGTGCAGGATTGCGACCTGGAGTAAGAAAACATCTGCTGCAAAAATGAGTGCAGAACTCAATCTCAGTCTTCCAAAGTCGTGTCCACAAACACTGGGTGGAGCGAGCTCCATAAGCAGAACATTCCGGAGCGAGCTGCAATGGCCAAACCACTAGTGACCGATGTTAATGCTCAGAAGAGGAGAGAGTGCTGCAACACCCACAAATGGTGGACTTGCGATCAATGGAAGACTGTCATGGTCCGATGACTCAAGCTGCCTACTGTTGCTCACCATCGTCGTGTGGCCAACGCCGTCCCAAGCTTACCACCAGGCCAACGGTAAAGCATGATGATGGTGCAGTCATGGTTTGGGCAGCCATATCTTGGTGTTCTGCAAGCTCCATCATCTTGAAAGGTGGAGTCACTGCCAAGGTCTATTACTGACCAGGTGCTCCCCCCCCCCCCATGGTGCAGACATTGTTTTTCCCAAAGACCGCGCCATTTGCCAATTCACACAGCTGATGTTCTCAAATCGTGGTTTGACGATCATGCAGACATAATCTTGTACCTTCCCTGGGTGCTGCAATCGCCGGACCTCAATATCATAGCGCCACTATTGGTCAATTTTGGAAAACAGGGTTCGGACTTGTTTTCCGTCTCCGGTATCTCTGCGAGAACTGGAACGATTTTTGCATGAAGAGTGGTATCAGGTTCCATTATCCACCATCCAAGACTTATATTTTCCAATTCCCAGGAGATTTCAGGCCGTCATGGTTGCCAAAGGCGGTCTAACACCATATTGGGTAACTATTTTGATCTTTTACCCGGTGCTTCCATGAATTTTTCAACCTCTGTAGAACACCCACGGCTTTTTTTTTTTTTTTAGCGGGAACGTGAATGTATGTAATGCCAAGGGGTGGTGGGGTGTTTTGGAAGGACTATTGATGCTGGCTGCTGGGGGATCACTGGGGGGATCTATTTTTGTGTGGCAGTCTATTGTTGCTGGAGAGGTCTATTGTTGCTGGTGGGGGATCTATTGTTGCTGAAAGGGTTCTACTGTTGAGGGAATGCTTCATTGTTGCTGGCTTCTAAAGAGCCTATTGATGTTGGCTGCTGGGGTGGTATTTTGTTGTGGAGGTCCATTGTTGCTGGTGCAATATATTGTTGCTGGGGGGGGGGGTTTCTTGTTGTTTGTTTATTCCAGGTACTTATATAGCGCCATCAATTTACGTAGCGCTTTACATGTGTGTGTATATACATATTACAATATTCACATCAGTCCCTAACCATCAAGTGGCGCACAATCTAAGGTCCCTAACTCACATTCATATATACACATTCTAGGGCCAATTTAGACAGGAGCCAATTAACCTACCAGCAAGTCTTTGGAGTGTGGGAGATACCCAGAGGAAACCCACACAGGCACAGGGAGAACATGCAAACTCCATGCAGGTGGTGCCATGGTTGGGATTTGAACCAATGACCCTAGTACTGCATGGCGGAAGTGCTAACCATTTAGCCACTGTGCTGCCCTTAACAAGTGAATCATTAACAAATCCCATACAAATTACTTAGCAACAGAAAATAATACTTGGCTCTGCATTCTCTAAGAGGAGCAGTACTGGGAGGTGGGTAGGAGGTGGAACCAAGAGACGGTGCTCAGAGGTGGGTAGGCGGTGGGACCAAGAGACGGTGCTCGGAGGTGGGTAGGAGGTGGAACCAAGAGACGGTGCTCGGAGGTGGGACCAAGAGACGGTGCTCGGAGGTGGGACCAAGAGACGGTGCTCGGAGGTGGGACCAAGAGACGGTGCTCGGAGGTGGGACCAAGAGACGGTGCTCGGAGGTGGGACCAAGAGACGGTGCTCGGAGGTGGGACCAAGAGACGGTGCTCGGAGGTGGGACCAAGAGACGGTGCTCGGAGGTGGGTAGGAGGCGGAGACCAGTGAAGTGACTCAAAAGGGGGAAGTTCCTGCACCTATTCTCTGAGAAAAGAAGCCGCAAGAACACCACATATAGAAATTCAACACCATTCCACAAATGAGCCAGCAATATCAGCTGATAGGAAAACTCAGCGGGAGTCCTCTGCTGAGCTGACCCGGGTCATGAGAAATTATAATCTTGTGAACAGGATAATATCAAAACAATAGTAATACAGTAAAAAGTGAGCAAATATCACAAGTCAAGATAAGGCAGGCCATAGACCACAGGTGGAAGCTATGAAAATCGCTTGATTCCCCCATCGACCCAGTCAGTGGGGGGAATCCCTCCCCCAATGCTACTGTGTTCTGACGGTGGGGAACCTCCCCCTGCCGGCAGGATCCAATGATTAGTGTTGCCACCCGACAGGCTGGTTGTACAGTACATAAGCTGATAGATCTGTAAAGTGTAAATTGTAATGCAGATAAACCGAGGAGGACATGTTTGTAGTCTACATGGGTGAAGCAGCCTAGGGTGACATCGCTGCTCCTCCATAGATGAAGTATGGTTAGTGTTCTCATCCTAGGACTGGATGATCACCTGATGAAGAGACGTAAATGCAGCCACCACAGTAACCTGCAATATATTACATTTTTGTTTAACTTTAGTTATCACCATTGTGCTGATGATTTTAGTAATGGGTGTTTTTTTTTTTTAAATTTATTTAGGCTTTACAGGAAAAACTGCAGACAACTAACAGAGAATTGGAGGAAAATATTGCCAGATTTGAGCAGGATCTAGAGGAAGAGAAACAGCGGGGGTCAGAGCTGGACGATACGGTAACATCACTGAGAATGCAGCCTATCCATTCACTAGAGAGCGGTGACATCACTGAGAATGCAGCCTATCCATTCACTAGAGAGCGGTGACATCACTGAGAATGCAGCCCATCGATTCACTAGAGAGTGGTGACATCAGTGAGAATGCAGAATATCCATTCACTAGAGAGCAGTGACATCACTGAGAATGCAGCCTATCCATTCAATAGTGAGTGGTGACATCACTGAGAATGCAGCCCATCCATTCACTAGAGAGCGGTGACATCACTGAGAATGCAGCCTATCCATCCACTAGAGAGCGGTGACATCACTGAGAATGCAGCCCATCCATTCACTAGAGAGCGGTGACATCACTGAGAATGCAGCCTATCCATTCACTAGAGAGCGGTGACATCACTGAGAATGCAGCCCATCCATTCACTAGAGAGCGGTGACATCACTGAGAATGCAGCCTATCCATTCACTAGAGAGCGGTGACATCACTGAGAATGCAGCCTATCCATTCACTAGAGAGCGGTGACATCACTGAGAATGCAGCCTATCCATTCACTAGAGAGCGGTGACGTCACTGAGAATGCAGCCCATCCATTCACTAGAGAGCGGTGACATCACAGAGAATGCAGCCTATCCATTCAATAGTGAGCGGTGACATCACTGAGAATGCAGCCCATCCATTCACTAGAGAGCAGTGACATCACTGAGAATGCAGCCCATCCATTCACTAGAGAGCGGTGACATCACTGAGAATGCAGCCTATCCATTCACATGAGAGCGGTGACATCACTGAGACTGCAGCATATCCATTCACTAGAGAGCGGTGACATCACTGAGAATGCAGCCTATCCATTCACTAGAGAGCGGTGACATCACTGAGAATGCAGCCTATCCATTCACTAGAGAGCGGTGACATCACTGAGAATGCAGCCTATCCATTCACTAGAGAGCGGTGACATCACTGAGAATGCAGCCTATCCATTCACTAGAGAGCGGTGACATCACTGAGAATGCAGCCTATCCATTCACTAGAGAGCGGTGACATCACTGAGAATGCAGCCCATCCATTCACTAGAGAGCGGTGACGTCACTGAGAATGCAGCCCATCCATTCACTAGAGAGCGGTGATATCACCGAGAATGCAGCCTATCCATTCACTAGAGCGCAGTGACATCACCGAGAATGCAGCCTATCGTTCATTAGAGAGCGGTGACATCACTGAGAATTGGGAACATGGTCTGTCTTTTTGTCGGAACGTAAAAGAAAACCAACAAAAAAATTAACAAATCTGACAAACGTGTTTTTCAGCTTTCTGAACTGAATGAGAAAATCAAAGCTTTGGAAGATGGCTTCAAAAACGAGAAGTCTTTGAAAGAAGAGGTATGTTGGGTTGGAGGCAGTTTTTTGTTTTAGATGGGATATTCCGTGGTGTCCCGTTTCTGCCTACAGCATTCATATTCTGGACTCTGTCACATGACCTCGCTTTGTTGTACAGATCCGCACAACTCAAAAAGTGTTTGAAATCACCAAAGGGCGGCTGGAGTCATCGGTGCGCGATGCAGTGGAAGAGCAGGCTCACCTCCAGGAGAGCATTAAACAGGTGAGATCCCTGAGAAACAAAGAGGAATTGTTTGCTGCTACAATACCTACATTGTAATTTTGGAAGAAAAACATTAACCGACTTTGGAGATACCTGGGCAGTGACACTCAATGTTAGAGTGAAAGAACATAGAATGATTTATTGTCAAGCGTATGCAAACCTTTAACATTTCCTGCAAACAATTCTCAATTGCTTTCTAAGCTGCCAAATGTGTCCTTCTGTATTGTTTCCCCCTTCATGTTTCATTCTTTCAAGGCTAACCACGTGCGGGTCCGGTAGTGGGAGCAGGCGGTGGGTCCGGTAGTGGGAGCAGGTGGTGGGTCCGGTAGTGGGAGCAGGCGGTGGGTCCGGTAGTGGGAGCAGGCGGTGGGTCCGGTAGTGGGAGCAGGCGGTGGGTCCGGTAGTGGGAGCAGGCGGTGGGTCCGGTAGTGGGAGCAGGCGGTGGGTCCCTTAGTGGGAGCAGGCGGTGGGTCCGGTAGTGGCAGCAGGCGGTGGGTCCTGTAGTGGCAGTAGGTCTTGTATTGGGAGCAGGCAGTGGGTCCCGTAGTGGCAGTAGGTCTTGTAGTGGGAGCAGGCAGTGGGTCCCGTAGTGGGAGCAGGCAGTGGGTCCCGTAGTGGCAGTAGGTCTTGTAGTGGGAGCAGGCAGTGGGTCCCGTAGTGGCAGTAGGTCTTGTAGTGGGAGCAGGCAGTGGGTCCCGTAGTGGCAGTAGGTCTTGTAGTGGGAGCAGGCAGTGGGTCCCGTAGTGGGAGCAGGCAGTGGGAGCAGGCAGTGGGTCCTGTAGTGGCAGTAGGTCTTGTAGTGGGAGCAGGCAGTGGGTCCCGTAGTGGCAGTGGGTCCCGTAGCGGGAGCAGGCAGTGGGTCCCGTAGCGGGAGCAGGCAGTGGGTCCCGTAGCGGGAGCAGGCAGTGGGTCCCGTAGCGGGAGCAGGCAGTGGGTCCCGTAGCGGGAGCAGGCAGTGGGTCCCGTAGCGGGAGCAGGCAGTGGGTCCCGTAGCGGGAGCAGGCAGTGGGTCCCGTAGCGGGAGCAGGCAGTGGGTCCCGTAGCGGGAGCAGGCAGTGGGTCCCGTAGCGGGAGCAGGCAGTGGGTCTTGTAGGGGAGCAGGCAGTGGGTCCCGTAGTGGCAGTAGGTCTTGTAGCGGGAGCAGGCAGTGGGTCCCGTAGTAGGAGCAACAGTGGGTCCTGTAGTGGCAGTGGGTCCCGTAGTGGCAGTGGGTCCCGTAGTGGCAGTGGGTCCCGTAGTGGGAGCAGGCAGTGGGTCCCGTAGTGGGAGCAGGCAGTGGGTCCCGTAGTGGGAGCAGACAGTGGGTCCCGTAGTGGCAGTGGGTCCCGTAGTGGGAGCAGGCAGTGGGTCCCGTAGTGGGAGCAGGCAGTGGGTCCCGTAGTGGGAGCAGGCAGTGGGTCCTGTAGTGGCAGTGGGTCCCAGAGCTGGCAGTGGGTCCCGTAGCGGGTAGGGCAGTGGGTCCCGTAGTGCTGCAAATCTGCTACGTTTGGATGGGTGTCACTGGAAGTAGCACAGGTTGTCTGGTATGTTTATTGAACCTCGTGCTGCACATTATCAAACAAACTGCTGCCAGTTTTGGGACAGATCTGTTTGTTATGTTGGTTAAATATTGACAAGCTGACCCTGGGGGGGGGGGGGGTACACAACCTGACAACATACCTGATGTTTGTCTTTTACTTTTGCAGTTGTCGAAAGAGGCAGAGGGCTGGGAGGAAAGGTTCAGCGAGCTCTCGGAGAACTCCAGGATGCTGAGCTCATCGGTGCAGGCCATGCAGGAAGACCTGAGCAACAGACAGGGCCAGGTCAAGGTCGGTATTGTGCCGCATCAGTATGGTTTTGTGTTTCTATGTTTTTGTGTTTCTATGTTTTTGTGTTTCTAATGTTTTCTGATCTCAGCATATAGTTTAAAACTAAAAATTTGGCCCCTAAATTTAAAAAACAAATGCCGCTATGTGAGCGTAAAAGTGAAAGGTTTTTTTTTTTTTTGTAACACCTTCCCGCCCGGCCTATAGCAGATTGGGCGGCCGGGCGGGGCACTCGTCATTGTGACTGGGCGTCATATGACATCCGGTCAAACTGAACCGCGGAGCGCCGCGATCTGTCAACTTCAGTGGCGCTCTGGGAACTAGCATGGTGAGTGGGATTGCAAAACTTGCACAATACAGTTGCAAATAATTTGGCAGATTAAAAGATTCAATTACCGCATACATAGTTACATAGTTGGTCTGGCTGAAAAAAGACAAAAGTCCATCCAGGTCAATCATTAACAATAAATAAATAAAAAAAAAAAAGTTATAATCCTACACCCACAGTTGATCCAGAGGAAGGCAAAGAAACCCAGCAAAGTACGATCCAATTTGCTCCTGCAGGGAAATAAAATTCCTTCCTGATCCCCCGAGAGGCAATCGGATATTCCCTGGATCATACATTGTTTCTCAATGCATTTTTAAGGGACAGTTTGTGACTTTCTAATGTAAGCGCACTTGTAACGCCATTGTCTTTATTCAATGCGATGTCTCTGCAGTGTCGTAGAATACCGATCGATCGCCCATCTGACCCGTTTTTCTCTCTTTCCTTCACAGTCTCTTATTGACAGTTTGCTGAAAATGAAGGATTGGAGCTCGGAGGTGGAAGAAATCAACAAAGATGAGGATGAGGATGGCGTGCTTGGCGGTATCAAGTGGGATTTTGAAAATGGGGAGCCTTTAGGTAATAAGCGTTGTTCCTGCCTCTCTATTGTCCATTCTTCACCCCCAACCCTTCAAATACGACCCACGACCCACTTTTACTTGTTTCCCATTTGTTTTCTTAGTCAACCCTGTGTAAGCTCCATGTTGGATGGTGTCAAAGCTTACCCAGGGTTGAAGACGTCCTACTCCCGTAACAGTATTTGGGCTACACACTGGGAGAAGGTCATGAGCTCTCCCCATGGTCAGAAGCAATGAGTATCTTGCAAGAGCTTGGATAGTGTGTCTGGGGAAGTGCAGCTTTAAGAGGGGTGGAGGGGTGCTTTAAGAGATTGTTGCTGTACTCTGAATGGGCAAAAACTTCCAAAATGGAGCAAAGAGAAGCCTTATTATGGCTTAAATATGCCGTTGCGGGGCCCAATGCCGCTCCCGTTGCGGGGCCCAGTGCCGCTCCCGTTGCGGGGCCCAGTGCCGCTCCCGTTGCGGGGCCCAGTGCCGCTCCCGTTGCGGGGCCCAGTGCCGCTCCCGTTGCGGCACCCACAGCCGTTCGCGTTGCGGCACCCACAGCCGTTCGCGTTGCGGCACCCACAGCCGTTCGCGTTGCGGCACCCACAGCCGTTCGCGTTGCGGCACCCACAGCCGTTCGCGTTGCGGCACCCCCACAGCCGTTCGCGTTGCGGCACCCACCGCCGTTCGCGTTGCGGCACCCACCGCCGTTCCCGTCCTAGGACCTTTCATAGCCTTGATAAAAAGAAAGCTTTTTAGCAGATTGCTACTTTTTACTTCTCTGATGAAATAGCTGTTTGTTTCCCCATGTCCTGTGCAGAATGACTCTGAATGGGAGGGTCTGGTTCAACATAATCACCTGGGGCACTCAGTGTTCTGATGAAAAAAGCTGCAGGGTCTGCATCCTTGTTTAGAAGTATATAACCCTTTGAGAGTTTCTCACCAAAGTGGAAATTCCTGTTGCAGGGGATGCCTAAAATCTGACTTGCAGATCTTAATACAGATTTCAGGGAAAATGCAGTGAGTCAATCACACAAGCAGGAAATTATATTTTTAGAGGTGTTCTCTACACCAGTGCTGTACAGAACGCCTCTAGGTTGCCATATTGCTTTGCATTTTGCAAAAAAAAAAAAAAAAAAACTACAGTGGCAGCAGATTGAAAAGGAAAGGTCATTTTTATTAAAATTAAATTACATTGCTTGTGTAGAAATTGTATATGTGTGTTTTTTTTTTTTTTTTGCTTTTTTTTTTTGCTATTTTTCCATAAAAGTGAAGTTACCCTTTTTTTTTTTTTTTTTTCCATAAGTGAAGTTGCCCTTTTTTTTTTTTTTTTTTTTTTTTCTCTCTTTATTGACTTCTATGAGTGGAGAATAATTGGAGTTACCCTTAAAGAACACTTTGTTTTCTTCCTTTCAGGAGATCCTCAAAAACAAACTATAAAGAAGCTAATCTTTGCTGCAAAGGTAAGATTTATAGCATTACATTCAGAATCTTTTTTGAATTTGTATGTTTTTAACATGGCGGGGGGGGGGGGGGGGGGGGGGGTCAATTTAGACAGGTAAAAAAAAAAAAAAAAAAAAATATCAACCTTTCAACCAGATGACAGTATTTTTTGTGCTCCTTTAGCTGAATGCATCCCTGAGGAGCGTTGAATCGGAGAAGAAGCAACTTTATGAGAACCTCTCGGATGAACTGAAGGCCAAAGAGCATTTTTCAGGTAAAAAAAAAAAAAAAAAAATTATTATTATACAGGATTTATATAGCGCCAACAGTTTGCTCAGCGCTTTACAAATGAATTAAATGACGTTTTTATTTTGTTTTGCTCAGGTGCAGTGTAGTTCCACTCTAAAGTGTATTTTCTTTCCCCAAAAAAATTTGCATTTGAAAAACCTATGTGTAAAAAATCATGTGATATAAACAATTGCAAAACCCACCATTTTATTTTTCTAGGGCCTCTGCCTTTAAAAAAAATTAAAATTAAAAAAAAAAAAAAAAAAAAAAAAAATATATATATATATATATATATATATATATATATATATATATATATATATATAAAATCTTTTTTATATGTTTGGGGGTTGTAAGTAATTTTCTAGCAAAAGAATGATGATTTTTAACGTGTATGTGAGAAATGTCTCAGGATTGGGGGCGGGGGGGGGGGGTTCAAGTGGTTCCAGTGACACTAAAAACAGTGAGGAATTGTTTCACCGCATTAAGCAGATAGACCTGTTTCATGGGAAAAAAAAAAAAAAGATTACAGAGCCGTCAATCAAAGAACGCCCGCCTCCTTATACTTTGATAATTTCAGACTACTTGTAGGTTTTTAAATACAAGTAAGGGAAGTACCTGAATTTGACTTGGTATCAGTCTCCTACAGTCCCTGTACAGCAGAGCTCAGACTGAGCTGGGGGGGGAGCAGAACACATACCCAAACAGTTGTGCTGATAAGAGTAGTAGAGCGCAGAGTGGCATACGTTGATGAGCCCATCAAACTGCTGCTTCATCTACTACTGTCCAGTCACAGGCTGGGGGAGGGGCCTGTAAGTGTTACTTTACTGCAGCCCAGGAAAATCAGGTCTCTTGTTGTGCCAGACAGGGCATTGTTGTGTAAATCTCAGGACTAGATGGACAAATACAAATCCTTTGGCAGGTTAAGGGACTCCTTTTCTATGTAGCTAATCTGTGTATTTAGCTCTTTTGGTTTTGTTGGGCTTTCCTAAACTGTAAGTTGTAGCACCTCGAGGCACGATCATTTCCCATCCCGGTGAATTTCTGCTTTTCAGAATGTATCACCAATCTGCAGAACACAAACCAGTCTCTCGCTCTGGAGAAGAAGCAGCTGGAGGAGGAGGTGGAGAAGATGAAGCAGAAGATGAGCGTCATGATGGAGGGTGTACCAGGAAAACGAGAGAAAACTGCACAGGTGGGGACTTCTCCTTTTTAAAACTAAAAATTCAGATTGAACCCTTTCATACTGATATACATCTTTGCATATTTCCAGCAAACTTTGGTATAAAAACCGGGATTCTTGGTTGACATATATTGCATTACTTGTTTGAGCTGGTCAGCTTTATCAGAAGTGATCCCTCGCTGGCCAGTCCCTACTCTACTCTGCAAAATGCACTTGCTTATAGCATACTTTAGTGCACATATACCAGCTTATGAACTAAGCTTCCTGCACTGCATTAAGCAGATAGACCTGTTTTTAGGTTTGTCTGCACTACCCATGCCAGTTGCTATATGAGAGTAAAATAGAAATTGGCGCAGGGTCTGCCCCTAATTTAGAGAGGGAATGCGTCAGTTTTCCCATATAGAAAACTGCCACAGGTCCTGACTTGCAGATGGCTCACATCCCTCTCTCTGCACATGCATCGAACACGCTATACGAGCAGAGCCTGCTGGGTTAACAATTCTCCTCCTCCGTCCTGTTCTGAGCTGAGCAGGGTCAGGGACGGGCAGATAGATTGGAGCATGCAGCTCCAGCTCTAGTGTTTTCGGTACTGTGACTGTCACAGATAACGCATAGAATAGGGAACTGAACGCTCCTAATTACCAAAGGGGCCTGCACCCCCCCTCCCCTTTTGTTAAGTAGCACAATCTGCTCCATTTTTGTGTTTAGAAGAGTGGTGCAAGCATTATGGTACTTGCCTGACTGCATTGTGCCAAGTGTAAAGTTAGGTGGAGGGGGGATTATGGTGTGGGGGTGTTTTTCAGGGGTCGGGCTTGACCCCCTAGTTGCAGTGAAGGTAACTCTTAAGGTGTCAGAATACCAAGACATTTTGGACAATTTCATGCTCCCAACTTTGTGGGAAGAGTATGGGGATGGCCCCTTCCTGTTCCAACATGACTGCACACCAGTGCACAAAGCAAGGTCCATAAAGACATGGAGGAGCCAGTTTGGGGTGGAGGAATTTGACTGTCCTGCACAGAGTCCTGACCTCAACCCCATAGAACACCTTTGGGATGAATTAGAGCGGAGACTGCGAGCCAGGCCTCCTCCCCCGACATCAGTGCCTGACCTGACAAATGTGCTTCTGGAAGAATGGTCCAACCTTCCCATAGACACCCTCCTAAACCTTGTGGACGGCCTTCCCAGAAGAGTTGAAGCTGTTATAGCTGCAAAGGACGGGGCCAACTCAATATTGAACCCTATGGACTAAGACTGGGGGGCCATTAAAGGTCATGTGTGTGGGAAGGCCGGCGGCCCAATATTGAACCCTACGGACTAAGACTGGGGGACCATTAAAGTTCATGTACGAGGAAAGGCCGGCGGCCCAATACTTTTGGCAATATAATGTATCTCTTCCATTTCTTTATAAAACTGACCCTTATTAGGCATTTGTGACCAAATCACATTATTATTATTAATTACTTTGCAGTGAATACAAACTCCACCTCATGTGACCTTCTGGCCTAGCAAAGTCATCATGGCCTCTGGCTAGCAGGAGCATTGTGGGTGTGTAGTCATTGGGGCCTTTTTTTAAATTTTTTTTTTTTTTTTTAATTGTAATCTCACAGTACAGGACTCAGAGGTGATTTTCATAGATCCGGGGTTGTAGGCTAACAGGTGATTAGACACTGGCAAAGCATTTGGACACTCCCCCTTAGGCACCTTCCCTGTAATCCTATCCCAGTCCACAAGACCCCATTTTTTTTGCTAGTGTCTTGTAGATGGTGGACCTCTTCTCCCTCGAAGAGACGTTCCTCTTCTTAACTAGCAATAAGAGGAGATGGAGACAATCAAAGCCACCATTAAAAATCCTGGAGCTCCGTACAGTCTACCTGACAGGGCCCCACCTGGTCCCACAGCTGCCTAGCAGTCCTTGCTTGGGGCGTGCATCAATCCCTCTGGGCGACCTACCTCTGCAGCGTCCTGCAAATACTAAAACTTCTGCAGTTCCCGGGAAAAATCTCACCCCATAATGCACACCGATGATTGAGCTGCACCAATCCAAGTTAAGCATAGGAACATTTCCTTAACCACCTCCCGTCCGGCCCATGTACATAAACGGCCGTACGGTGGCAGTGCAGGGGCGGGTGGCCATTAATAAACAGCCTCCCCGCCCCCTGCTTCAGTGCGCTCCCTGGGAGCGCGCAGCATCGCAATCCGGTGTCCGCTGTGTCATCCAGCCACAGTGGAACACCGATCGTCGGACGGGACCTCTGTACGAGGTCCTGATCATGTGATCACTGATTGGCCAATCAGTGATCACATGCAGAGTAGTAAGCAATGATGTCACTTGTGACATCATTGCTTACTACTTGTGAAATCTGTGAATGATCACAGAGGTCACATGGTACAGGGTCATTCACAACAGCCTTGTACCATGTGACAAGCTGTGACCAATCACAGCTCACACAGTAGTTGTCAATGGCTGCAAGAATGCAGCCAGAGAGAAGGAGAAATGATTGCTTTTACACCCATACAGGCTGTAAAAGCAATCAGTGTAAAAAAAAAAAAAAATCTTCATCACCCCCCACAAGTAGTACAGTGTCACCATGGTGACGCTGTACTGCTAGGGTGACAGTATGTAAAAAAAAAAAAAAGCATAAATAATATAAAAAAAGTAAAAAAAGTTTAAAAATTATAATTTTTGGTTATAAACTTATAAATTTGGATTATTTTTTTTTTTTTACTAAAAAGATAACGGAATAAATTTTGGCCAAGATTTATGACGGAATACTATTTAGTTGCAAAATTTTATAAGAAAAACACTTTTTTTTTCCAAATTTTTGGACGTTTTCATTTACATAGCAAAAAAAATAAAAATCCCAGCGGTGAATAAATACCACCAAAATAAATAAAGCTTTATCGGTCTCAAAAAAATGCTAAAAAAATTCATATGGTGTTGCATGACCGCGCAATTGTCATTCAAAGTGTGATAGGGCTGAAAGCTGAAAATTGGCTTGGACTGGAAGGGGGTGAAAGTGTCCGGGACTGGAAGGGGGGGAAAGCGTCCGGACTGGAAGGGGGTGAAAGCGTCCGGACTGGAAGGGGGTGGAAGCGTCCGGACTGGAAGGGGGGGTGGAAGCGTCCGGACTGGAAGGGGGGTGGAAGCGTCCGGACTGGAAGGGGGTGGAAGCGTCCGGACTGGAAGGGGGTGGAAGCGTCCGGACTGGAAGGGGGTGGAAGCGTCCGGGGGGTGGAAGCGTCCGGACTGGAAGGGGGTGGAAGCGTCCGGACTGGAAGGGGGTGGAAGCGTCCGGACTGGAAGGGGGTGGAAGCGTCCGGACTGGAAGCGTCCGGACTGGGGGGTGGAAGCGTCCGGACTGGAAGGGGGGTGGAAGCGTCCGGACTGGAAGGGGGTGAAAGCGTCCGGACTGGAAGGGGGTGGAAGCGTCCGGACTGGAAGGGGGTGGAAGCGTCCGGACTGGAAGGGGGTGGAAGCGTCCGGACTGGAAGGGGGTGGAAGCGTCCGGACTGGAAGGGGGTGGAAGCGTCCGGACTGGAAGGGGGTGGAAGCGTCCGGACTGGAAGGGGGTGTAAAAGTGTCCGGACTGGAAGTGGTTAAGCGTGAAGAGGTCCACCATCCTACAGGACACGAGCAAAAAACTAAGATCCAAAGACTCAAACCAGACCCAGTGAGGGCGTGTCCAAATGCTTTGTCAGTGTCCAATCACTTGAAGGTAATAGCCGGGTCTATGAATCCAATGGGATGCTTCACAAAATGCACCTCCCTCCCTCTCTTCCACTGCCAGTTGATCTTGGAGAAAGGTGGTGGGATGCTCAAAGTGGGGGGCATGCAGAGGGGGAGATTTAGGGGTTCAGGTCCCCCTGCTGACCTGATGGGGCCTGGCACAGAAATACTCCCTGTATTCCCTATCGGCAGCCCTGGGGATGATCATTATTCAATCTTCAATGTCTTTAGACGAGACCCCCAAGTGTGGCTCCCGCAGACTCATTCTGCATAGAAGTTATGGTAAATGAAATGGTCGAGCTTTGGCTCCACCACTCAATGCCGACGTGTGGATTGGGGGTGTTCGTTATGTAGGAAGTTTGGGGGGAAAAAAAAAGCCATAAGACTTTCTGTCCGTCTTGATTTTAGGAAGCTGACCGTACAGGAGAAGGAGCGGCTACAGAAAGAGGCCAAGCTCAGCAAAGCCGATGAGAAAGTGTGCATGGCGGCCACCGAGCTCGTTACCGTCAAGTAAGCCTTCGCATTGTGTCCGGTGAATTGTCGCCCCCCCCCCCCGCCCCCGCCGGGCCTTAACCGCTCACCCTGTCTCTCTTACTTTCCAGGACACGACTGACTGAACTGGAAGAGGAAACGGAGCGGACTGTCGCCTCCTACCAGACGCAGGTCAGGATTTTGTAGATTTGATACTTTATATAAAAAAAATGCTGCAGGGCAAGTCAATCACATCAGCCGAGGAGGGACTTCAGGTCCAACTTTTCTGTAATGGTCACATGATATGGACACTGTATAAGGAGGAGTACAGCAAACCTCCGCAGTCAGCTTCTGAGCCAGAAAATAAGAACATATGTTACACATGACCCCAGTCATTAGACATACTGTATATAATTCTGAAAAAATAACATTCCTACCCCCTGACACCAATGATGAGGCACTATTCCTTCCACTGACACCAATGATGAGGCACTATTCCTTCCACTGATACCAATGATGGGGCACTATTCCTTCCACTGACACCAATGATGGGGCACTATTCCTCCCACTGACACCAATGATGGGGCACTATTCCTTCCACTGACACCAATGATGAGGCACTATTCCTTCCACTGACACCAATGATGGGGCACTATTCCTCCCACTGATACCAATGATGAGGCACTATTCCTTCCACTGACACCAATGATGGGGCACTATTCCTCCCACTGATACCAATGATGGGACACTATTCCTCCCACTGACACCAATGATGGGGCACTATTCCTCCCACTGACACCAATGATGGGACACTATTCCTCCCACTGACACCAACGATGGGGCACTATTCCTCCCACTGATACCAACGATGGGGCACTATTCCTCCCACTGATATCAAAGATGGGGCACTATTCCTCCCACTGACACCAACGATGGGGCACTATTCCTCCCACTGACACCAACGATGGGGCGCTATTCCTCCCACTGACACCAACGATGGGGCGCTATTCCTCCCACTGACACCAACGATGGGGCACTATTCCTCCCACTGACACCAACGATGGGGCACTATTCCTCCCACTGACACCAACGATGGGGCACTATTCCTCCCACTGACACCAACGATGGGGCACTATTCCTCCCACTGACACCAACGATGGGGCACTATTCCTCCCACTGACACCAACGATGGGGCACTATTCCTCCCACTGACACCAACGATGGGGCACTATTCCTCCCACTGACACCAACGATGGGGCACTATTCCTCCCACTGACACCAACGATGGGGCACTATTCCTCCCACTGACACCAACAATGGGGGCACTGTTTTTCCCGGTAATACCAATTATGGGACACAATTCCTTCCACTGACACCAATGATGGGGCAGTGTTTCTCCCACTGATACCTATGTTGGGGCAATATTTTTCCCAGTAATACCAATGATGGGGCACTTTTGCTGACCACCAAGCTTCAGGCATTGTTTTACGCCCACTAACGACAGGATTTTTCTCACTGGCCACAGTCTATCCCAACTGGTCCTTTCTTTAGAAAGTTTTGAAACCTTTGCTTTGTGTCCGATCGCTGTACTAACCTCCCTACCATCATCATTGTGCTCTCCTAAAATCTCCATATCCATTTTTCTTTTCAGGTCACATCATATGAAAAGAAAGCTCATGATAACTGGGTGAGTGTGTTTTTTTTTTTTTTTTTTCATTCCATTTGTCACAGAATATAATCTGTTATAATTATTATTACTTTCTTGTTCTCTGGGGGACACAGGAAGTTTTTAACCCTCAGGTTATACTGCCACCTACAGGAGAAGTGGACACTGAAATAAAAAACCTGTAGGCCAGTCCAGGATTACCCCTCCTACTACCCAGCATGCCCCAGCTGATTTCTAGTGTCCTAGGAGGAGGAATGTCTGCTGCTCGGGTTCTGAAGGTCTGGTGATTCCTACGATGCTCAAAGCAAAGGAAGTCATCTTCCTGCAAGTTCCATCATCTGCTGTGGAAGGGATACTTCCACCACATGGAGTTTCTCTGTGGGACTTATCTTCTCCTTCCTGTACTTGGTCCGGCCCAGAGTTTGACTCTCTGCTACATTAAGGGTCAGGTCTCTGCCCTCTCTTTTCTGTTTGAGGTTGTTGGCCTCCTTGATTAGGACCTTTGTATATGGGATTTTCCATGTAGGTTCCCTCGTTTGTTCCTCTACAACTCATGACCTGAATCTGGTTCTTTCTGCATTTCAAAAGTAGGCTTTTGAACCAATTGGAGATGTTCTCCTCTATACTCACAAGGTAGGTATTCTTTGTAGCCATCTCTTCTCCAAGGCGGGTGTCTGAATTGTTGGTCTTCTCTTTCAAGGAACCCTTTCTGGTTTTGCATGGAGACAAGGTGGTGTCAATGCCCGGGACTTCCTTTTATAGCCTAAGAGGATTGTCTTCTTGTTACCTAAAACTGGATATTCTTCATGGACATGTTCTCCTGCTGCTCTGTTCAGCTTCAGTTCTCCAAAAGAAATTTTTCTTCCATCGGTTTTAGTTCAGGCTGTGAAATTTACTCTCAGCCACTGAATCTATCATAAAGACTGAAAGACTAGATGAAACCTGAAAGGGTGCACCACCTGGATCCTGGATGGAACCTATAAGGGTGCACCAGCTTTTCGTTCCACCCTCCATAGTGGCTTAGATGGACCACCAAGGTTCCACCATTCCTGTCAAGGCATGCTCTACTAGATCTGTGAGGGCCTCTTGGGCTTTTCAGCATCCAGTAACTGTTTCCCAGATTTGTAAGGCTGTCGGCTGTTTTTCTGTTTGCATGTTCTCTAAGGGCTTGTTAACACTTGTGGTTGACCCGTGGTCTCCTTGATTAGGATCTTTTGTATATGGGATCTTCTATGTAGGTTCCCTCGTTTGTTCCCCTACAACTCCATGGGACCTGAATCTGGTTCTTTCTGCATTTCAAAAGTAGGCTTTTGAACCAATTGGAGATGTTCTCCTCTATACTCACAAGGTAGGTATTCTTTGTAGCCATCTCTTCTCCAAGGCGGGTGTCTGAATTGTTTTTGTCTTCTCTTTCAAGGAACCCTTTCTGGTTTTGCATGGAGACAAGGAGGTGTCAATGCACGGGACCTCCTTTATAGCCTAAAAGGAGTGTCTTCCTATTACCTAAAGCAGGATATTCTTCATGGACCTGTTCTCCTGCTGCTCTGTTCAGCTTCAGTTCTCCAAAAGAAGTTTTTCTTCCATCGGTTTTAGTTGAGGCTATGAGATTCTCTCTCAGCCACTGAATCTATCATAAAGACTGAAAGACTAGATGAAACCTGAAAGGGTGCACCACCTGGATCCTGGATGGAACCTATAAGGGTGCACCAGCTTTTCGTTCCACCATCCATAGGTGGCTTAGATGGACCACCAAGGTTCCACCATTCCTGTCAAGACATGCTCTACTAGATCTGTGAGGGCCTCTTGGGCTTTTCAGCATCCAGTAACTGTTTCCCAGATTTGTAAGGCTGCCGGCTGGTCTTCTGTTTGCATGTTCTCTAAGGGCTTGTTAACACTTGTGGTTGACCCGTGGTAAAAAACAGGTGGCCGAGCTTTCGATATTTGTATTCACCATAAAACAATTTTTTGAGTCTATTGAGGGGCCCCATGCTGAATAGAGAAAAACAAACAGAGGGCGCACCAGCCTAGTGCATTACCTTTTAAAATATTAAATAATAAAAGTAGGTATTGTACTCACAAATGACAATACAGTCAAGGCACAACGTGAAAGTACAGCTCTGTCCAATCCGCACTACATGTCTGTCCGAAATGGGAATTCTGGACATCCAACATGCTCTTGGTACTACTATGTTGGTAGTAGGAGTGGATATCCTGGGCTGGACCACTTAGAATGGAGGCCAATGACATCACTGTGAATGCAGTCTATCCATTCACTACCAATGACATCACTGAGAATGCAGCCTATCCATTCACTACCAATGACATCCCTGAGAATGCAGCCTATCCATTCACTAGAGAGCGGTGACATCACTGAGAATGCAGCCTATCCAATCACTAGAGAGCAGTGACATCACCTAGAATGCAGCCTATCCGTTCACTAGAGAGCGGTGACATCACTGAGAATGCAGCCTATCCATTCACTAGAGAGCGGTGACATCACTGAGAATGCAGCCTATCCATTCACTAGAGAGAGGTGATGAGAATGCAGCCTATCCATTCGCTAGAGAGCGGTGACATCACTGAGAATGCAGCCTATCCATTCACTAGAGAGCGGTGACATCACTGAGAATGCAGCCTATCCATTCACTAGAGAGAGGTGATGAGAATGCAGCCTATCCATTCGCTAGAGAGCGGTGACATCACTGAGAATGCAGCCTATCCATTTGCTAGCTAGAGAGCGATGACATCACTGAGAATGCAGCCTATCCATTCACTAGAGAGCGGTGACATCACTTAGAATGCAGCCTATCCATTCACTAGAGAGCGGTGACATCACTGAGAATGCAGCCTATCCATTCGCTAGAGAGCGGTGATATCACTGAGAATGCAGCCTATCCATTCACCAGAGAGCGGTGACATCACTGAGAATGCAGCCTATCCATTCACTAGAGAGCGGTGACATCACTGAGAATGCAGCCTATCCATTCACTAGAGAGTGGTGACATCACTGAGAATGCAGCCTATCCATTCACTAGAGAGCTGTGACATCACTGAGAATGCAGCCTATCCATTCACTAGAGAGCAGTGACATCACTGAGAATGCAGCCTATCCATTCACTAGAGAGCGGTGACATCACTGAGAATGCAGCCTATCCATTCACTAGAGAGCTGTGACATCACTGAGAATGCAGCCTATTCATTCACTAGAGAGCAGTGACATCACAGAGAATGCAGCCTATCCATTCACTAGAGAGCGATGACATCACTGAGAATGCAGCCTATCCATTCACTAGAGAGTGATGTCACTGCTGAGAATGCAGCCTATCCATTCACTAGAGAGCGGTGACATCACTGAGAATGCAGCCTATCCATTCACTAGAGAGCGGTGACATCACAGAGAATGTATTGTATTTCAGCTCATTGTATATTATTTTAATGCACTTTTCTGTTTCTTCTCAGCTCACTGCAAGAGCGGCAGAAAGATACTTGAGTGACGTGAAGAGGGAAACCTTACATCTCCGACAGAAGTGAGTAGTAGACATGAACAAGATTTACCTTCTGACACTCCCCCTCCTCCGCCCCCCCCAGAATTTCAGTGTATAGAAGCAGTGTTGTCAGACCAATAGAGGAAGTTAGGAGATTGCTGGATTTTTGGCAGGATCAACAGTTTGTTTGTTTTTTTTAACCTCCGTACCTGCAGCATGTTTAAGACATCTAGAAATGTACTGGATTGCATTTCCCTTTTTTTTTTTTTTTTTTTTTTTTTTTTTTCTTTAATTTTTCTTTTTTTTTCTTGCCCAGACGTACATATGAATTTATTTAAAACTAAAAATCTTTCTCATATATTTAGACTGTAGTCCCTAATGCTGCATTTCATCTTCTGCTGTAGATTAACAGAGGCGGAGTATAAACTGGAACTCCTGGAGAAGGACCCCTTTGCGCTGGATGTGATCCAAGCCATCGGGAGAGGTAATTGACGGTTCGGATGATGTCACAGCGGGGGTGGTGGCAATCTGCTTCCAATGATGTCACCCAGGGAGAGCGATCCTCGCTGACCACATTTATACCCAAGACCACAAAGAGATACAATCAGGAGTCTTCAAGCTGGCCATAGATGGATAGATTGTTGGCCGGCTCAGCAGGGACCAGCCAAGATTCGATCCATCCATGAGCAAGCTGGTTGTACTGAAGTTGATTGGCTTTAGTACAAGCAGCCTGTCGGATTTTTCTCAGGCAATCACTGCCGGTGGCTGTAGCCTCCAGCAGTGATTGTGTTCTGCTGGCTGGGAACACAATAGCACCTTGGAAGAGATTCCCCCATCAACACTTTGATGGGGAAATCAAGCAATACATCCCTGGTGGAAGGAAAGAAAATTGCATAATCTATGGGCAGTGAATGATCAGATTTGCAGGCAAGACTCAAGGATTGATTTTTTTTTTTTTTTAAAGCATAACTCCAGCCAGAACGTTTTTTTTTTTTGAGTGAAAAAAGCATTGCCCCCTATGGGCAGTTTCTGTACAGTTAAGGAGCTTACAATCTAAGGACCCCATCTCACATACTGTACATACATATACTATAGCCAATTAACCTGCCGGAATGTCTTTGACGTGTATTTGAGTGTGACAAGAAAGCAGAGGAAATGGGAGGAAAGCTTTGCAAACACAGCAAAAAACAAGCAAAAAAAAAAAAAATTAAAATAAGTTGAATGGATAGTTGGATGAATGGATAGTTGGATGGATGGATAGTTGGATGGATGGATAGTTGGATGGATGGATAGTTGGATGGATGGATGGATAGTTGGATGGATGGATAGTTGGATGGATGGATAGTTGGTGGATGGATTGGTGGATGGATGGATGGATTGGTGGATGGATGGATGGATTGGTGGATGGATGGACGGATGGATGGATTGATGGATGGATTGGTGGATGGATGGTAGATGGATGTATGGATAGCTGGATGAATAGATGAATAGTTGGATGGATGGTAGATGGATGTATGGATAGTTGGATGGGTAGATGGATGGTAGATGGATGGATGGTACATGGATGGATGGTAGATTGATGGATAGATGAATAGTTGGATGGATGGACACCAGACAGAAGAGGAAACAGACAAACTTCCAGTCAGAGAAGCTCTATGGAAGCAGAGAAGGCCAAATAGGGACCGTAAGCCCACCACCCCGCCCTCCAGCGCGCTGTCCCTCCGGCGGAGATCCGGTGACTTGCGGCCTAGCACGACCTCTGAAGCCGCGACCTTTTCTACCGGCCGCGGCAGACCGCAGAGGGCCGAGGATTGTCGCCGAGACGCCCCGCTCCGGGCCTCGCTGATAGAAGGAAGCAGCAACCACCCCCACTGGCACAGAGAGGGTAAGCCGCCATTGGCCCCCAGTGGGTAAGCCACCGCTGCCACATCTGCTCCCCACTGTGCTCCACTCAGCCGTGCCCCTGCCACTGCACAGCCCTGAGCCCGTTCCATCTAGCGGAGGCGCCCACCAATGCCTAGCCCACTCCACCTCCTGCATCCGGGCCTCTAGCAGCTCCTGCCACCGGGCCTTCAGCACCTCCCGACGCCGGGCCTTCAGCACCTCCCGACGCCGGGCCCTCAGCACCACCTGATGCCGGGCCCACAACACCTCCAAACACAATGCCCCACGGTTCGTCCAGTCGTCGAACCTCTGTACCCACGGACGCCGGCCTACAGCATCCACAGACTGCAACCAGCCAGATCCGCACCCAGCCGCCCACCACTCTCACTCCCCTCCTACAATTGGACACTGATGAACTCTGTCATGGCATAACGGACTCTCCCCATCCTCACGTCCTGACTGAAACCTCCCCGACCCAACCAGCACTCCGCTCACCCTAGTATGCCACCTGCACTCCTCCTCCTCCTCGTTCTCCTCTCCTCCATTCCCAAACTTGCCTCCCTCTACCCCCCTACTCCCCCAAAACAGCTCTACATCGCACCCTCACTTCTTCTCCTCCCCCCTCTACGGCTCTCACCACCTCCTGATACGCCACCCCTCCCCCCCCCGCCGACCCACACGTGACCACCAACAGACCCACACACTCCTGCACATCCCGTTCCCATGCCACCTTCCTCACCCTTCTCCTAACTGCCGAAGACATCTCCCCGAACCCTGGCCCCCCCACCTCCCCACTCCCTCTTAGCACCCCCCTGCTCCCGCCAGCCGCCACAACCCCCTCAACCTCATATCTGTCCCACTCCTCCCCGCATCCACCCGCCCCTCTTTCGGTTGCACTCCTGAACGCCCGTTCGGTTTGCAACAAGCTCACCGCCATCCACGACCTCTTTTGTCTCCCGCTCCCTCAACCTCCTAGTGGTCACCGAAACCTGGATCCAAGACACTGACTCCACCTCCCCTGCAGCACTCTCCAATGAAGGCCTCCTCTGGACCCATTCACCGAGACCGAGCGGCCGCAGAGGCGGTGGGGTTGGCATGCTCCTGCCACCGCTGAGCACCTTCCAGGTCCTCCCTAACCTCCCCTCCCTATCCTTCTCCTCCTTCGAGGCTCACTGCATCCGGCTCTTCTCTCCCACCCCTCTGAGGATTGCGGTAATCTATCGGCCTCCTGGTTCCGCATCCCTCTTCCTAGACGACTTCTCTGCCTGGCTTCCCTTCTTCCTCTCCTCCGAGCTACCGACCATCATCCTAGGTGACTTCAACATCCCCATCAACGCCAACAAACCGGCTACTTCCCAACTCCTCCTTCGCGCTCACACAGCACATGCAGTCCCCCACCCACACCAATGCAAACACCCTGGACCTCGTTTTCTCCCACCTCTGCACCCCCCCCCCACGACTTCACTAACACCTCCTTCCCCCTCTCTGACCACCACCTCCTCACATTCTCCATCTCCCCCTCCCTTAACCCCCCCCCCCCAAAGAGTCTAACCATCACGCGTAACCTCCGCAACCTGAACTCGACCCATCTCTACCCGGCAGCTGACCGTCTGTATGACAGTATCCTCCCTCTGTCATGCCCTGACCTGGCCACTACTGTGTACAGCGACTCACTGTCGGCTGTTCTCGACTCCCTGGCACTCCTAACCACACGTAACACCAGACCCCGACAAAATGACCACACGAAATGTCTCAAATGACGCAGTCGCGCACTGGAGCACTTATGGTGCAAAACCAGATCCCCTCGTGCGTTCTCCCTCTACAAAGCTGCCTTCCTCACCTACTCCTCCCTCCACGCCACCAAGCAAGCCTATTTCGTAACCCTTATCAGCACCCTCTCCACCTGTCCTCGCCGGCTCTTCTCCACTTTCAAATCCCTGCTCTCTCCCCCCCCCCCTCCACTCAGCACCTCAGTCACCGCCCACGAGATTGCCAATCACTTCCAAAACAAGATTGACACAATCCGTAAGGACATTGTCAACTCACAATCTACCTCTCCACCTAGCCCTCCTCCCTCCATCAACCTCTCAACCCTCCCCTCCTCCGACCTAATAGCCGCACTACCCCCCACTATACCGAACGCCCCGCACACTATAACCTCCCCAACGCTCCACTCCTTCAGCCCAGCTACCACTGAGGAGGTCTCTAAGGTCTTCATTGAAGCCGGCCTCACCACCTGCCCTCTGGACCCTATCCCCTCACAGCTCCTCCAGTCACCTCCCCCGCCATCATTCTCTCCCTCACCCACATCTTCAATCTCTCCCTCTCCACTGGCACTTTCCCCTCCCCTCTAAAGCACGCACACATCACCCCCATACTCAAAAAACCCTCCCTAGACCCCACTGACCTAAACAACCTTAGACCCATCTCCCTGCTGCCATTCACTTCCAAGCTCCTTGAGCGCCTGGCCTACAATCGCCTAAGCGCCCACCTCACTCAACCTCCTTGATCCACTACAGTCTGGCTTCCGTCCTCTACACTCCACCGAAACCGCCCTGCTTAAAATCACCAACGACCTGCTAACCGCCAAAGCTACTGGCCATTACTCTGTCCTCCTGCTTCTTGACCTCTCCGTGGCCTTTGACACAGTCGACCACCCTCTCCTCCTTACTAAACTGCACTCCCTTGGCATCAGGGATGCTGCTCTCTCCTGGTTCTCCTCCTACCTTTCCCAACGCTCCTTCAGCGTCACCTACAACACTGCCACCTCCCTCCCCCTCTCTGTTGGGGTCCCCCAAGGCTCTGTCCTCGGGTCCCTCCTCTTCTCCATCTACACCTCCTCCCTTGGTAAACTAATACACTCCCACGGCTTCAATTACACCTCTATGCCGATGACACACAAATTTACCTCTCCACCCCCCACCTCACCCCCTCACTCTCCGCCCGCATCGCCCACCTCCTAAACGACATATCAGACTGGATGTCGCTCCATTTCCTCAAGTTAAACCTGTCCAAAACCGAGCTCCTTGTCTCCTCCCCCCCCCCCCCCCCCCCATCCTCTCCATCACTACTAACAACGCCACCATCACTCCCACCCCACATGCCAAAGTCCTGGGTGTCACCCTGGACTCAAACCTTTCCTTCCAACCCCATGTCCAATCACTATCAAACTCATGCAGGCTCCACCTCCGCAACATCTCCAAGATACGTTCGTTCCTCACCCCAGACACCACTAAACAACTCGTACACTCCCTTATTATCTCACGCCTGGACTACTGCAACTCCCTCCTCACCAGCCTGCCCCAACACACGCTATCCCCACTCCAGCCGATCCTGAACTCAGCAGCGAGACTCATCCACCTCACCAACCGCTCCACATCTGCTCCCCCCTCTGCCAATCCCTTCACTGGCCTCCACTCAGTGTCCTCCTCCCCCCTCTGCCAATCCCTTCACTGGCTCCCGATTCCCCAACGCATCAAATTCAAACTGCTAACCCTGACCTACAAAGCCATTCACAACACTGCCCCAAACTACATAACTGACCTGATACCCAAATACTACCCTACCCGTGCCCTCCGCTCCTCACAGGACCTCCTACTCTCTAGCTCCCTGGTCTCCTCCTCCCATGCCTGACTGCAGGACTTCCCCCATCCTCTGGAACTCCCTACCCCAATCCATCAGACTGTCACCTACCCTCCTCACCTTCGGGCGCACCCTGAAAACCCACCTCTTCAGGGAAGCCTACCCCAACCTCACCTAACACCCGACCTCACCTAACAACTAACCTCCTACACTCCTCCCGCAACTCCATCCCCCACAGCCATCTCCTCCTGTACCACCTCCCCCTCCCTCCTAGATTGTAAGCTCAAAAGAGCAGGGCCCTCGAACCCCTCGTGTATTGTACTGTTACTGTCTTGTCTCATGTTCTGTCCCCCATTATAATGTACAGCGCTGAGCATACCCTTTGGTGCTATATAAACACTGTATAATAATAATAATGGATGGATGGATGGTAGATGAATAGTTGGATGGATGGATGGATGGATAGTCGGATGGATAGCTGGATGGGTAGATGGATAGTTTGTTTTTTTTTTTTTTTTTTTTTTTTTTTTTTGTTTTTTTTTAGGTGCAGTTAAAAAAAAATAAATAAAATGTGTGCCTGATTCCCAGGAGAGATTAGTGCTTAGAAGTGGGACTTGAATGCTGAGAGTTGTGTTTGTTGTGTTTGTTGCTCAGTCGGGTGATTGTCTCCTCATTGATGTTCTCTGTACTGTAGTGAGTATATTCAGTGATCTTGACGGATAATTTGTTCTGTTTCATGTGTTGTATTTCTCTCCTGGTAGCTTACGCAGACGCCTTTATTAACCACCCAGGTATCGGTGTCACTGCTGTCCTTGCATGGAACATTCCCCATCAGCCCATAGTGTCTGTGTCCTCTTACATCATATAGACCTGTAATCATAGGAACATGCCGCCTTACCCTGGGTTCCCACCATCCCTGTGCTGAGTTCCCTGGTCTTTACACCCGCTGTGCCCATTATGAGGGGTTCCCACCATCCCTGTGCTGAGTTCCCTGGTCTATACACCCGCTGTGCCCATTATGAGGGGTTCCCACCATCCCTGTGCTGAGTTCCCTGGTCTTTACACCCGCTGTGCCCATTATGAGGGGTTCCCACCATCCCTGTGCTGAGTTCCCTGGTCTTTACACCCGCTGTGCCCATTATGAGGGGTTCCCACCATCCCTGTGCTGAGTTCCCGGGTCTTTACACCCGCTGTGCCCATTATGAGGGGTTCCCACCATCCCTGTGCTGAGTTCCCTGGTCTATACACCCGCTGTGCCCATTATGAGGGGTTCCCACCATCCCTGTGCTGAGTTCCCTGGTCTATACACCCGCTGTGCCCATTATGAGGGGTTCCCACCATCCCTGTGCTGAGTTCCCTGGTCTATACACCCGCTGTGCCCATTATGAGGGGTTCCCACCATCCCTGTGCTGAGTTCCCTGGTCTATACACCCGCTGTGCCCATTATGAGGGGTTCCCACCATCCCTGTGCTGAGTTCCCTGGTCTATACACCCGCTGTGCCCATTATGAGGGGTTCCCACCATCCCTGTGCTGAGTTCCCAGGTCTGTACACCTACTGTGGCCATTATGAGGGGTTCCCACCATCCCTGTGCTGAGTTCCCGGGTCTGTACACCTACTGTGGCCATTATGAGGGGTTCCCACCATCCCTGTGCTGAGTTCCCGGGTCTGTACACCCGCTGTGCCAATTATGAGGGGTTCCCCCGAGGGTTCAAGGAAGCCAGGACTTTGGGAAAGGAGGTCTGTCTGCTGCAGTTACCAAAGAATATAGCAACCCAGCAGAACCCCCCCGCCCCAGACTCCGCCCATAATTCAGTTAATATCACTTCTTATTCCATGACCCCTAAAGTGAGTTACCCGACAATAAAAGGCTACGTCGGGTCCAAGTGCTACTCGCAGCCTCCAGTATTCGGGGAGATCCTGGAATCTGTATAGGAATTGGCATTTCTAGGATTCGGTGTTTCGGGTCGTTGCGGTATGTGAGCCGCCATCTTGGACAAAACAAACACATAGAGAGGTAGTGAAAGTTTGATATACTGGAAGCTGCCTGTGTGCTGGAAAATATCCCCCCCCCTCCCCCACCCCCAGGGCAGATCAAATCTCCCCCACCCCAGGGCAGATGGAATATCCACCACCATCCTCACTCATTCGTGACATTTATTTGCCATTCAGGGTAGTGCCTAGGTTTGTTCGTTCTCTTCGCTCTCACCCACACTGAGCCGTGATATTTATGTACTTTGTTCTCGAAAGTTTCTACCATTTTACGTCTTCCAATATTTCCAGAGAGCTCGCCGTATGGATTGTCGCCAATAAACCGCGTACCGGAGAGCCGGGCTTTCCTCTCCCCTCCCCCGCTTCTGGAAGGACCCCTCAGGCTCTCTCCCATGCTCACTGCAGGCGATAGAGGTATGTATGGATATCAACCTGAGCAGATGACGTCTACCTACCTACCTACCTACCTATGGGATCCCTCTCTGTATGTGGAATATATCTTCTTGGTCTCGCTCTCTTTCTTTCTTTACTAAAACCAAACGTATGACTGCAGAACGAATCCCTGTCCCTCCATGCTGGGAGTGCGATCGATGCCTCCTCTCCGCAATCCTTCTAAACACAATTCTACATCATGTGCCACCCGCAGGTATGAGGCCTCCAGGATATTACCCCGGGTACCCCGGGCCCAAGGAGAGGAGTGACGTCAATGCGGATAGGAAATCGGACCACCAGCGCACGTTGTCAGATGCCGGCTCCTTATCTCCACCATGGGACAGAGAGCAGAAGAACAACGTCCCCCCACCAGGTACGCAGAGCGGGGGGTCTTCATGGCTGTTCCTCTAATAGTTTCCTCCAGCCAAAGCTGGTGTCTTAGGCTACGTTCACACTAGCCTTGTGTGCAGGCGGCAGAGAGGCGTTTGGGAAGCGTTTTTTTTTACCGCTTCCCAAACACCTCTGCCAACTCTGCACATTACAGCACATGGTGCTGTTCTAACGGAAGCGTTTGCGTCGCGTCGCGTTGCGTCGCGGCAAAACGGACGCCTCTGGTCGAGTCAGGAGGCTTTGAAGCCTCCTATTCTCGTCTATGGTGCCGCTCCGCAAACGCCCGGCCGGCGTTTGCGGTGCGGTTGCGACGCGTTTTGCGGGGCGTTTGCGGAGCGGTAACACCACTCAAACTGTATTATAGGCGTTTGTGGGGCGTTATTAACGCTCGGCAAACGCCTAGCAACCGTCACTAAACCGCGCATGCGGCGTTTGCGGAGCGTTTGCCGAGCGTTAATAACGCCCCACAAACGCCGGACCAACGCTTGCCAAACGCTATAGGGGCGTTTGGCAAGCGTTGGTAAAACAGCCAAGTGTGAACGAGCCCTTAGAGTTCAAGTTGTCACCCCACTCTTGGGGAGATACCTGTGCTGAGTTCCCAGGTCTGTACACCCGCTGTGCCCATTATGAGGGGTTCCCACCATCCCTGTGCTGAGTTCCCGGGTCTGTAAATAAAGCCCTTAGAGTAGATAACAAAAGGAACAATGTTACTTTGCATCTCTATCTCCCGTCTGATCGATGTTTATAAACAATGTTACTTTGTATCTCTATCTCCTGTCTGATCGATGTTTATAAACAATGTTACTTTGTATCTCTCTATCTCCTGTCTGATCGATGTTTATAAACAATGCTACTTTGTATCTCTCCATCTTCTGTTTGATCGATGTTTATAAACAATGTTACTTTGTATCTCTCCATCCCCCGTCTGATCGATGTTTATAAACAATGTTACTTTGTACAATGAAGGAAATGTGTATTTGCTCCCCTGCTGATGTTGAATGTTTTCTCATCACTTTTTTTTTTTTTCCTCCCACGCTGCACTCAGGCTTGCCGTTTCCGGAGCATCATTTCCCACCCAGACGACCGGACCGATTTTATCATTACCCGCCACCATCCGGTCGATTCTCCGGCCCCGCTGAACTGACCAGAAATCAGGGCAAACCTTTCATGGACTCGCAGGGTGAGTTGTTCTTCAGCTACTTAGTCTGAGTAGATGGCGGTCGTGCAAACCCAACACCAGGGTGGTTCTGTTGTGGCACAGCAGAACTCCAAATTAAAAGAATAATGTAGGCCATAGATGGGTCCAAAACCGTCCATTTTTAAAAAAAAAAAAAAAAAAAAAATGAAAAATCGGTATTTTGATCGGCCAATGTTACCACCAACGGTAAAAAAATCGGCCGATTTTCATCCCATCTACGGCAGGCATTTAACCCCATAATTACTTCTGTCCCTGCAGAGAGCTCCACTATTATATTTTATATGAAAAGTCTTGCGGTTGCAACAATGTATCCATTTGTATCCATTTGTATCCATTTGTATCTATTTGTATCCATTTGTATCTATTTGTATCCATTTTGGATACAGATGTTTTTATTCGGATACAAATGGATACATTTGTTGCAACCGCGAGACTTTTCCTATAAAATATAATAGCGGACTGGAATTCTTCTTCTTCTTGCAGGTCACAGCTCATGCGCAGATTTTTTATCGGTAAAACGATCAGCCGATTTGCCCATCATTGCCGGGAAAATCGGCTGATCGGCAAAATCGGCCGCAAATTTTCCAACATGCCCGATAAAAAAAAAATGTGAAAAACGGCCGACCAATTAACCCACTAACTGTGCGAAAATCGTCTGTTTTTAATTTTTTTTCCGGATGAAAAATCGGCCGATTTTTGACCCATCTATGTCCCCCATTAAGCCCAGTGAAAGATGAAGACTGAGATCGAGCTCTGCAGTCATTTTTGTAGTTTTTTTTTTTTTTTTTTTCCCGATCCATCCTGCAGGGATTATCGGCTTGCTTTAAACCTTCCCTTCTCATGCAGCTCGTGAATTGATTAGTTAATCCCATATAGGTTGCATGCCGACGATCCCCGCAGGATGGATCGGATCTGCGGATTGAGCATAATGAATCGGAGTCCCATCCATTATCCTCCCCAATCCGCAGATCACATCCATTCTGCGGGGATCGTCTGCTTGCTTTAAAACTTACCTTTTCCTGGAGCGGGTCCGGTGTCACCCCGTATAGGTTGCATGCCGACGATCCCCGCAGGATGGATCAGATCTGCGGATTGGGGAGCATAATGGATCGGACTCCGATCCATTATGCTCAATCCGTAGATCCGATCCATCCTGCCGGGATCATCGGAGGGGTGACACCAAGTATTCTGGCACCGGGTGACACCAACCCTGAGGACGCCCCTGCCCTGACCCTTTCCGAAATCACAGCGGCAAAAAAAAAACATCAATGTGAATGTGTCCCATAGTTAAATGGACTGTAGTGCGTTTCTGCAGAAAGCATTAAAAAACGCATTGGTGTGAACGGAGCCTAAGCCGGGATCACATACATGCAGTGTGGTACAGCGCATGTGATTCGTACCGGAACCGCACCGCATTCCTCAGCACATCACATGCGATTTGTGTGTGGTGCGATCGCAGCCGTATATTTTGTATGGCTCTATTCGCACCAAATGCGCAGGACCCTTTTTTTGGTCCACACTAGAATCGGATTGCACGGGTATTCACACCTACGCGATCCGATTCTGCACATCGCACTGCGTTTTGCGGACCGATTTCGGGGTGTTGACTTACCATACACACCCGCAGCAGTTCGCATGAGCGGGGTGCGATTCTGTTGCGGAATTTGCTGTGAATTCCGCACGGCGTCAGTGTGATCCCGGGCTCAGAGGTAATGCGCTAGCTTGGTGCGCACTCTGCTCTCTCGTGTCTTTCCAGTTGTCTTTGGGACATCTCCGGTCTGGAAGGGGCTGTGCGTGCTAATATCTTCTCCTAGGATTGGACCACCACACCCACCCACGCACGCACGCACGGGGGGGTGTCTTTGTGGCTACTTACCTGTATGGCTAGAATTCTGCTATGACCAAGTGACTTATACATCATATATACTCTCCAGGGGCGGACTGACCATTTGGAAACTCGGGCACTGCCCGAGGGCCCGGGGTCAGTAGGGGGCCCCATGAGATGTCCCTGGTACCTTTTTCATAGGCTTTTTTTAAGTTTGGGCAAGGACACAGGGCCCCATGATCCTCTATTGCCCAAGGGCCCCATGAGTTGTCAGTCCGCCCCTGATACTCTCTATTGGTCACCCAGAAGAAGGTAGGCTCGGTTTTTCAGTAACTGTTTTCCTTTTCCCTGACAGATGGCCGATCTTCTCCAGAATTTAAATCGAGAGGCAACACAAGCAGGGACGGGCCGGAAGAAGCCAATGTAAGCATGCGGAGGTCATATCAGAATGTCTGGGAATGTAGAGGCTCCCTGGGGACCCCCATATAACCTCACTTACCTCTTGCATAGCAAGTGCACCCCACCCCCCCTTTTCGCTTACTCCTAGGGCAGGGGCCTCCAAACTATGGCCCTTCAGCTGTTGGAAGTACTACAAGTCCCATCATGCCTCTGCCTCTGGGAGTCTTGCCTGTTGCTGTCAGAGTCTTGCAAGACCTCATGGGACTTGCAGTCCCTTAACACCTAGAGGGCCATGGTTTGGAGACCCCTGTGTAGGATATTGGGCCCCTGTGTATCCTCAATGGGCCCATAAGCAAGTGTTTCCTGTCCCCTTGAGGACCACTCACGTACCCGGTACATCCTCGCTCTTTAACCCCTCGCCGTCCTGAGGATCTTCCCCCCCCCCCCCCCCCCCCCCTTTTCCTGACCAGGCCATTTTTTGCGTTATGGCGCTGGGTTACTTTGATAATTGCGCGGTTGTGCAACGCTGCACCCAAATTAAATTTACGTCCTTTTTTCCCCACGAATTGAGCTTTCTTTCGGTGGTATTTGATTGCCTGTGCACTAAAAACAAAAAAAGACCGACATTTTGAGAAAAAAAACAATATTTTGGACTTTTTGCTATTAAACCTGTCCAGGTAAATTTTTAAAAAATCTAATTTAGTCATAAATTTAGACCAAAATGTATTCCGCTCCAGGTCTTTGCTAAAAAAATTCTGATACGTTTAAATTAATTGGTTTACATGAAAGTTATAGCGTCTACAAATGGCGGTATATGTACTGGAATATTTTTTTTTTTCTTCTACTAGTAATGGTGGCGATCAGCGAATTTTAGCGGGACAGCGGTGGACATTCTGACACTGGGGGGGGGAACTGACTTGATGCCACTAACATCCCCAGTGACACCAATACAGTGATCAGTGCTTAAAAAAAAAAAAAAAAAAAAAAGCACTGACACTGTACTAATGGCACTGGGCAGGAAGGGGTTAACATCTGGGGTGATCAAAGGGTTACATGTGTGCTGGGAGTGTTTTCCTAGTGGGTGGGGTCTGTGTGCTTCACTGTAATCACAGGATGAGTCAGGATGGCTGTGCTGTGAATTGTGACCGAGCTGACAGGGAAGAGGACTGTTAGTAAACAAAACAATCTTCCTCCCTGTTAGAGATTCACAATAATCACCTGGAGCTGATGGGTAATTACCGGCCGGGACCCGGTGATTGACATCTGCGGCTGCGAATGGCACCCCGGGTAGGGCATGCGCACCTCCTACCCAGAAATGCGGGGGCGCAGGGCAGAGTGGCGGGGGCGCAGGTCAGAGTGACCTAGGGTGCAGGTCAGAGTGACCTAGGGTGCAGGTCAGAGTGACCTAGGGTGCAGGGCAGAGTGACCTAGGGTGCAGAGCAGAGTGACCTAGGGTGCAGGTCAGACTGGCGGGGGTGCAGGTCAGAGTGACCTAGGGTGCAGGTCAGAGTGGCGAGGGTGCAGGGCAGAGTGTTGAGGGTGCAGGGCAGAGTGGCGGGGGTGCAGGGCACAGTGGTGTATATATACGTGATTCTGCGCACAGGTGCCGCCCCATAGCAGTATATCTGCTATAGGGTGGTCCTTAAGTGGTTGGTACCGTTCTATGGAGCCAAGGGTCGGCTTCCTTGTAATAGTGATCAGAGCGGCTACCTAGCCCCTGGATCGCTATTACAAACAACAAAAGAGCACATCACCCGCCTTCTGCCACTTTCGCGGCATCTCCCGTCCCACAGGGAGTCCTGATCGATCAGCCGAACAAAGATCTCCTTTGTTCAGCTCTGTTCTATAGTAAATCGGTAGCAATGTCCTGACATCCCTTCCAGTTTACTCGGCAATACACGTCGATATTGCTAAGAAATAGAAGCAATCAATCATACCGATCTTGGCGAGATTTAAAGCTTTTAACTGCTTAACCCCTTCCTGCCTGAGGGTAAAACAAATCTTCATGCCTAAGCACAATTTTGCAACGTTGACATGTGATAGTAAAACCGCACATATCATCACAACTACTTCGTACATCCAGGTGGATTATACAGCGTTTTTTTAGGACAAATTGGGCTTTCATTTGGTGGTAAATGGTAATGGATATCTCCTGATTTTTTTTGTTATAGTAAAAAAAAATTATTTTTTGTAATTTAGCTGTGTTTCTTGTTACGACCATAACCTACCACCAAAGAACAACCCAAAATAAATGCTCCAGCTCTTGACGATCGCAGCGATACCATATATGTGTATGTTATTTGTTGTCTGTATCAGTAGTACAGCCCAGAAACAATAATGCGCATTTTTTTGTCGTCTTTTTTTTTTTTTTTTTTTTTTTTTTTTTTTTTTATCTAAAAACACACTGACACCAATTGTTTTTTTTTAATTCTGACCTTTGACCCCAGCACTGAACTAGATCTAGGTATTTTTTCTTTCTTTTTTTATTTTATTTTTTAATATTTATTAAAAAAAACAAGGGGGCCAGGCTGTACAGTGATTGATCACTGTGATAGCTGATCAGAGGCTATCACAGCAATCATGTGATCCGGAATCGGGAGTCCCAGGTCCCGATCGTTAGAACAGGACTTGGTGCTCTCAGTGACACCGCGTTCTTTGTGCTGAGAGCGCACCGTGCGACTCCCAGCACAAAGACAGGTACGCAAATATGCGGCCCCCACGGAAAAAAAGCCCAGTTCTGTGAGGCCGCATATTTGTGTTATGTCGGTGTCAAGGGGTTAATGACCACCCTATAGTAGATACACTGCTACGGGGCGGCACCTGTGCGCAGAATCACGTGTGACTCAATACATGCAAAGCAAGATAGTTCAAGCCGTGATTTGTCATCATTGTGATGATTATGGTTTACAGCTCATGAAAACCCCAAATCCACAATCTCAGAAAATGAGAATATTCCATGCAATCAATAAAACACGGATTGTACATAGAACAATATCGGGCCTCTGAAAAGTAGAAGCATGCATATGTACTCAGTACTTGGTTGGGGCCCCTTTTGCAGCAATTACTGCCTCAATGCGGCGTGGCATGGAAGCTATCAGCCTGCGGCACTGCTGAGGTGTTATGGAAGACCAGGATGCTTCAATAGCGGCCTTCAGCTCTTCTGCATTGTTCGGTCTCATGTCTCATCTTTCTCTTGGCAATGCCCCATAGATTCTCTATGGGGTTCAGGTCCGACGAGTTTGCTGGCCAATCAAGCATGGTAATCCCACTGTCATTGAACCAGGTTTTGGTGCTTTTGGCAGTGTGGGAGGTGCCAAGTCCTGCTGGAAAATGAAGTTGGCATCCCCATAAAGCTGGTCTGCAGAAGGAAGCATGAAGTGCTCCAAAATCTCCTGGTAGACGGCTGCATTGACCCTGGACTTAATGAAGCACAGTGGACCAACACCAGTAGATGACATGGCTCCCCAAATCAACACAGACTATGGAAACTTCACACTGGACTTCAAGCATCTTGCAGTGTGTGCCTCTCCATTCTTCCTCCATACTCCGGGGTCCTTGGGCCTCTCCATTCTTCCTCCATACTCGGGGTCCTTGGGCCTCTCCATTCTTCCTCCATACTCGGGGGCCTTGGGCCTCTCCATTCTTCCTCCATACTCGGGGTCCTTGGGCCTCTCCATTCTTCCTCCATACTCGGGGTCCTTGGGCCTCTCCATTCTTCCTCCATACTCGGGGTCCTTGGGCCTCTCCATTCTTCCTCCATACTCGGGGTCCTCTCCATTCTTCCTCCATACTCGGGGTCCTCTCCATTCTTCCTCCATACTCTGGGTCCTTGGGCCTCTCCATTCTTCCTCCATACTCGGGGTCCTTGGGCCTCTTCATTCTTCCTCCATACTCGGGGTCCTGAGTTTCCAAATGAGCTGCAAAAGTTGCTTTCATCAGAAAAGAGGACTTTGGACCACTGAGCACCAGACCAGGTCTGTTTTTCTTTAGCCCAGGTAAGACGATTCTGACGTTGTTTGTTGTTCAAGAGCGGCTTGACAAGAGGAATACAACATTTGAAGCCCATGTCCAGGATCCGTCTGTGTGTGGTGGCTCTTGATGCACTGACTCCAGCCTCAGTCCACTCCTTGTGAAAGTCCCCAACACTTTTGAATGGCCTTTTCCTGACAATCCTCTCCAGGCTGCGGTCATCCCTGCTGCTTGTACACCTTTTTCTTCCACACTTTTCCCTTCCACATAACTTTCTATTAATGTGCTTTGATACAACACTTTGGGAACATCCAACTTCTTTTGCAATGACCTTTTGAGGCTTTCCCTCCTTATGGAGGGTGTCAGTGAAGGTGTCAGGTCAGCAGTCTTTCCCATGATTGCGATTCCTACTCAACCAGACTGAGAGACCATTTAAAGGCTCAGGAACCCTCTGCAGGTGTTATGGCTGAATTATCTGATTAGAGTGGGACACTTTGAGCCGAGAATATTCCACCTTTTCACAATATTCTCATTTTCTGAGATTGTGGATTTGGGGTTTTCATGAGCTGTAAGCCATAATCATCACAATGATGACAAATCACGGCTTGAAACTATCTTGCTTTGCATGTAATGAGTCTCATATATTAGTTTCACCTTTTAAGTTGCTGCACTGAAATAAATGAACTTTTGCACCATATTCTCATTTCTTGAGTTTCACCTGTATGTATGTGATTTCGCATTTCTGGGTAGGGGGGTGCACGCGAGCCACGTGCACGCCCTACCCGTGGCACAGTTCTTGGCCGCGGATGTTGATCCCTGGGTCCCAACTGGTAATTACCTGTAATTTTCTGGCAGAAAAGCTGATTGTTTCTTGTGAACAAATGCCAGAAAAAGCCTGGTCCTGCAGTGGCTATAGTGGTGATCGGAGGCATGAGGGCATCAGGAGGACGTTGTCTGTAGAAGACGTGTTCATCTTCTAGCTATTTTGCACGCCAGCCTCGGGTTGGTGAAGGGTGTACTTTGATGTCCACAGTCAGCCACGGTTTCTGTGCTGAGAGTGCGCTCCCGACACTGACAGAGTTTTTTATCGATGATTCCCGGTCATGACCTGGAACTGGCTGGACAGGCTCCTGATCATGTGACAGAAAATCACAATGGTCACATGATCAGGAAGTCTGTCCTGCATTCATACATAAGGTCCTGCATCGTGGGACGCGGGATACTTGGGGAAGGGGTTAATGTGGTCCTGCTCATTATTCTTCATTGGTGTTGTTTTTGTCACTTCTCATTACAGAATGTCCCTGGAGCCCCCACAACAGAAGGTGAAACGGTGGATGGAGCACCCTCAGAGTACCCCATGTACCCTCCCCCACCAATGAGAGTGCCATTATTACCCATGGATCCTAGAGCACCTTTCTTTAGGAGACCTTTCCCTTTGCCCCCACCTCCGATGGACATGTATGGACCTCCTGGCTACACGGGCCTTCCACCACCACCACCGCACATTGCAAGTAAGTCCAATCTGTGCTCTTCATAGACGAGTTGCTTAACCACTGAAAGTCCGGACACCTTCACCCCCATCCAGTCCAGCCCAATTCTCAACACTATGACCCTTTGAGTGACAATTACTCAGTCATGCAACACTGGCCTCATATGAAATTTTTAACCCCTTTTTTGAGACAGATAGAGCTTTCTTTTTGTGACATTTCACCATTGCTGGGTTTTTATTTTTTTGCTATATAAATGAAAAAAATACCAAACATTTAAAAAAAAAAAATTTTTTTTTGCTTAGCTTTTGTTATAAAATTTTGCAAACAGATACATTTTCTTCATAAATTTAGGCCAAAATGTGTTCTATTACATTTGTGGGGTAAAAATAACCAAAAAAAAACATTTATATTATTTAGTTTGTGTGAAATCTATAGAGTCTACAAACTAGTGGATGTGTATTGGAAAATCAGTTGAAATCTTAAAATGCTGATGTGGCGGCGATCAGGACGTTAGCATGAGGTATGTCGGCGATTAGGACACTGGTATGACTGTGATGGGGTAGGGTGGTGGTCAGGACGCGGATAAAGGGTATGGGGGTGATCAGGACGCGGATAAGGGGTATGGTGGTGGTTAGGACGCTGGTATGGGGGGGGGTGATCAGGACGCGGATAAGGGGTATGGTGGTGGTTAGGACGCTGGTATGGGGGGGGGTGATCAGTACGCAGATAAGGGGTATGGTGGTGGTTAGGAAGCTGGTATGGGGGGGTGATCAGGACGCGGATAAGGGGTATGGTGGTGGTTAGGAAGCTGGTATGGTGTATGGAGATGATCAGTGTGTTGTTTTGGGGTATGGAGGTGATCAGGACGCTGATATGGGGTATGGAGGTGATCAGGGTGCTGGTATGGGACATGGCGGTGATCAGGACGCTGGTATGGCGGTGATCAGTGTGTTGTTTTGGGGTATGGCGGCGATCAGGACGCGGATAAGGGGTATGGTGGTGGTTAGGAAGCTGGTATGGGGGGTGATCAGGAAGCTGGTATGGAGGTGATCAGTGTGTTGTTTTGGGGTATGGAGGTGATCAGGACGCTGATATGGGACATGGCGGTGATCAGGACGCTGATATGGGGTATGGAGGTGATCAGTGTGTTGTTTTGGGGTATGGAGGTGATCAGGACGCTGGTATGGCGTATGGCGGTGATCAGGACGCGGATAAGGGGTATGGTGGTGGTTAGGAAGCTGGTATGGGGGGTGATCAGGAAGCTGGTATGGGGTATGGAGGTGATCAGTGTGTTGTTTTGGGATATGGTGGTGATCAGGACGCTGATATGGGACATGGCGGTGATCAGGATGCTGATATGGGACATGGCGGTGATCAGGACGCTGATATGGGACATGGCGGTGATCAGTGTGTTGTTTTGGGGTATGGCGGTGATCCGGACGCTGGTATGGGGTATGGCGGTGATCAGGACGTGGATAAGGGGTATGGTGGTGGTTAGGAAGCTGGTATGGAGGTGATCAGGACGCTTGTATGGAGGTGATCAGTGTGTTGTTTTGGGGTATGGCGGTGATCAGGACACTGGTATGGAGGTGATCCGGGCGCTGGTATGGGGCATGGCGTTGATACAGGCGCTGGTATGGGGCATGGCGTTGATACAGGCGCTGGTATGGGGCATGGCGTTGATACAGGCGCTGGTATGGGGCATGGCGTTTATCCGGGGGCTGGTATGGGGCATGACGGTGATCAGGATGCTGGTATGGGGCATGACGGTGATCAGGATGCTGGTATGGGGCATGACGGTGATCAGGATGCTGGGTATGGAGCATGGCGGTGATACAGGCGCTGGTATGGGGCATGATGGTGATCAGGATGCTGGTATGGGGCATGGCGGTGATCAGGACGCTGGTATGGGGCATGGCGTTGATACAGGCGCTGGTATGGGGCATGGCGGTGATCAGGATGCTGGTATGGGGCATGACGGTGATCAGGATGCTGGTATGGGGCATGGCGGTGATCAGGATGCTGGTATGGGGCATGGCGGTGATACAGGCGCTGGTATGGGGCATGATGGTGATCAGGATGCTGGTATGGGGCATGGCGGTGATACGGGCGCTGGTATGGGGCATGGCGGTGAGATCAGGACGCTGGTATGGGGCATGGCGGCGATCAGGACGCTGGTATGGGGCATGGCGGCGATCAGGACGCTGGTATGGGGCATGTCGGTGATCAGGACGCTGGTATGGAGGTGACAAAAGTGTTTACAAAAAAAAATTAATTATATTCAATTGTTCAAATTCAAAGATACGGTCACTAGTCCGTGTCCCTGATCGCCGCCTCACCCGTCATGTGATGATGCTATACTGCACTGGGGATGAAAATAAAATAATGGAAAGAAAAACATTTTAATTTCTTCATTTTCCACCCAATTGCGTCAAAAAAAATTTACGTAAAAAAACTCACCATGCCTCTTACTAAATAGCTCCAAAAAAAGGGGTCATTTAGGGGATATTTGTACTGTCCTGACATTTGGGGGGATTTGTTCTATCCTGGCAGTTGGGGGGGATTTGTTCCATCCAGGGGTGCACTGACCATTTGGAAACTCGGGCACTGCCTGAGGGCCCGGGGTCAGTAGGGGGCCCCATGAGATGCCCCTGGTACCTTTTTCATAGGCTTTTTTTGAGTTTGGACAAGGACACAGGGGCCCCCATGATCCCCTATGGTCTGGGGGCCCCATGAGTTGTCAGGCCGCCCCTGATTCCATCCTGGCAGTTGGGGGGGAGGCACGGATTTGTACCTTCCTGGCAGTTGGGGGGGGATTTGTGCCATCCTGGCAGTTGGGGGGGGCGCGCAGGGGATTTGTGCCATCCTGGCAGTTGGGGGGGGGGGGCGCGCAGGGGATTTGTACCATCCTGGCAGTTGGGGGGGCGCGCAGGGGATTTGTACCATCCTGACTTTTTACATTCTCAAGCAATAAGATCAGCCATCAGGACTGATTTGAAACTGTACATCCCATAGTTTGTAGACTCTATAACTTTCCTACAGACTAAATAATATACACTGATTTAGGTTATTTCTACCACAGAAATGTAGCAGAAGACATTTTGGCATCAATCTATGAAGAAAGATTGTTTGCAGAATTTTTAAAACAGAAATGAAAGAAAAAAAGTTTATTTTTTTCAAAAATTTGGAGATCTATTTAGTTTATATTGCAAAAAATAAAACACCCGTGGTGATGAAATACTAACAAACAAAACCTTTGTCTAAAAAAAAAAAAAAAAAAATGATGTAAATTTGGGTACAGAGTTACATGACCGTGCAATTGCCAGTTAACACACAAAATAAAAAAATGCCCTGGTCATGAAGTAGATAAAACCATCCATAGGTCAAGTGTTACTAAACCTGGACCCTGCATGCACTTCATCCCCTCTCTCCCCTAGACCCCCGCCCCCACATTTTCTGCCTCCGCTCTCCCCTAGACCCCGCCCCCACATTCTCTGCCTCCGCTCTCCCCTAGACCCCCCCGCCCCCACATTCTCTGCCTCCGCTCTCCCCTAGACCCCGCCCCCACATTCTCTGCCTCCGCTCTCCCACGGACCCCGCATTCTCTGCCTCCGCTCTCCCACGGACCCCGCATTCTCTGCCTCCGCTCTCTCCCCCGGACCCCGCATTCTCTGCCTCCGCTCTCCCACGGACCCCGCATTCTCTGCCTCCCCCCCTCCCACGGACCCCGCATTCTCTGCCTCCCCCCCCCATTCTCTGCCTCCCCGCCCCCCCCCCCCCCCCCCCCCCATTCTCTGCCTCCCCCCCCCCCCCCCCCCATTCTCTGCCTCCCCCCCCCATTCTCTGCCTCTCCCCCCCCCCCCCCCGCTTTCTTTCTGCTCTGACTGTCTGACTGTCCTATGAGGCTGCATGACCCCTGACCCTCTGTCTGGATAATGCTAATTGGCCCTGTGCTGCTCACGTGAACTCCTTAAACCCCCCCCCCCCCCAAAAAAAAACCCCTCTAGTAATACACACTAAACTGAGCATGTGCAGAGGTTTCTCTTAGTACAGAGCTCTATCAGCAGATGGATCCAGGACACTAGAAGAAGGGGAGGATCAGAAAAGTCAGGATCAAACAGCCTTTTTACATTCATGCAGAAGATTAACCCCTTGGGGTCCACAGGGAGTATAACAAGCATGCTTTACTGCATCTACGGACTGATTGGACTGTTGTGGGTTTAGTAACACTAAGTGGACAGGAATGTGATACATAAGTAACATTGTAAAATAAGTTTTTTTTTTTTTGTTTTAAATAACTTTTTTTTTCTTCTTCCCACTCTAGTGAGGGGTCCTCTACCACCGCAACACTTCCCTTCTTATCCAATGCCCTCCGAAGCCTTCTACCCCCCACAACACATACAGCCTCCTCCCCGAGACGACCATCCCACAGAGACGCAGCCTCCGTCCAGCGACTCCGCCTCCCACCACCTCCCCGAAACACAAACTTGATGTCTTTGTGCTAGAAAAAGACTTTTCCTGAGATAGAGGAGATATAGGATATTATATTTATAGTTTTGGGTCAGAAGATATTTTAGCATCATGATAAAAGACAAAAAAAAGTGGTAATTTAACTGTGAAAGAGTCGAACGCCAGAGCATGTGGAATTGTAATTTCTTTTTATTTGAAAGTTTTGGTTTAGAATGTCAGCAATGCTTTTTTTTTTTTTAAAGAGAGAATTTTAGAATATATATAAGGTAAGCAGATTATATTGCGGAGAAGGCTGCTGTGAATAAAGTCTAGACTTTTGTGAGGATTTTTTTTGTATAATCGTTCTTTACTGTTGGCATTAACAATTTGTTTTAACCGCTTTCTGACCGCGCTATCGCTAAAAGACGGCTACATCGGTCGGCTAGTTCTGGGAGGGCATCCATGGATGTCCTCACACATGCACAATGGAGAGCCGCGACCTCCTGGGACATGTCACAGGTCCCAAAAGGCTGCAGGTCTATTCAGAAAGCACAGCGTGACTCACGCCGGCGAGCCAGGAGGAGGTCACAGCCCGTTTCCCCAAATCTCACTCAAGATGGAGGCACCAGCAACCTGAAGAAGAACTGGTGATGGCAGTGCTAGATCCCTAAGGCTGAGGAGTACCTGTTTATTGAAAGTCAGCAGCTACAGTTTTTGCACCCCCCCCCCCCCCCCCCCCCCCCCCCCACAAAACAACCCAAAAAAAAAACCAACCCCCAACAAAACCAACACACTGCACATTAGCACGTCATGACAGACTTGCCTGTAAAAGGGATCCATCTTCACCCAGTCTCCCTTCTGTTTGGCCGAGCCACGATGACGTCACAGTTGCAGCACAGCACTCTGGTGTGCCTTCAATTCAGAATGCTGTGAGCATGCAATGGTGGCATCATCAGCTTCAGAAATTGCTAATATTTCCAAAATGGTGCACATTTAGGAGATATTTATTGTTCATTCTGGTAAATTTTATTATAAGCTTACCTGTAGGCATAAATATGAAGCGTTTACAATCACTTTAAAGTGCATGGTCATCCAAATTCTTTTTTCCTTCTTAGACCCTGCCAGGTTTTTGTTATGCAAGGTTCCATTAGAGAGGGTGTCAATCTTTGAGTAGGCTGAGCATTGGGGGCTGTGGCTGCTGGTTGCCTTTAAATTCTCAAATTCCTGGTGGTTTCCACCACCACAGGCATTAATGTTGTGGGTCTGAACGCTGACGCCAGAGGTGGAATGCCTTGCCTGCCATACAGCGTATAGGAAGTGCCTCCCTGCAGATAAGCAGGAAAGTGCACCACCATATCTCCAACTAAAGAGTTCTCCAACTAAGGGTGCACCACCCTCTCCAACTAGAAGACTCTCCAACTAAAAGGTTCTCCACCAACTCTAACAAAAAGGTTTTCCAGCTAAAGGTGCACCACCATCTCCAACTGGGGGAGGGGGGGGGGTGAAGTTGTTAATCAGTGCCAGCTCTTAGGTAGTTTACCCTTCAGGTCCAGAGAATACCCTCTTTGGATTGCAGACTGAACCCTTCCAAACGGCACCCTCTTTGGCTTCCCACTTTATACCATCCTGTGTTACCAAACAGTTTTAGCAGACTTATCTCTGCAGTATCATGGATGGAGAGGTCCTTGGCATAGATCCTTTACCAGCTTGGCTACAAGAACTGTATCCCAATCTGCTCCAGGCTCCTCCCCACAGAGTAGACATGTATTTAAATCTCTAGCTTCACCCATGCAGCTTGTTTCCTCCAGGGTGCTGTCTGACTTTTCATGGCACACATTTTTTTCTTCGGATACTCACCTCCCATGAAGATCACAGTCAATGTAAGCTCTAATCTAGGGGACGTCTCAGAGAGAGATGTGGGCAGTCAAAATGGACAAGAAAGATGGAGGATTCCTAGCCTTTTGAAAGATGTTGCCTGGTTCTAATAGGTTACTATTTTACTTTAAAAAGTATGTGGCCAAAACCAGAAATCTTGATCAGCAACTTAAAATAGTAAAGCCACTGATCAGGATGATAGCCAGCCAGCCATTTCAGCCTGGTCTCCACCAAAACTCAGCTTCACGTGTGCATTCTGGGAACTGAGCAAGGACCAAGTTGCAATCTGGCTAAAGCCTGCAAGCAGCGCCTGAGAGTGTGGCCCTGTACAAACTGGGACCTGACAGGAATCTTAACAATGAGGTCCTGGAAGAAGCTACTCTTAAGTTGAGACGGTCCCACAGCTCAACTTATTTGACCCCATAAGGATCAAGGGAATAAGGAATTCCACATCTAGAATGATTGTCAGGAAGGACAGACAGACATTCACCTTGCCAAGGCAATAAGTATCAGAAAATAACCAGAAGGATGACTAGTTCAGAAGAATCTCAAGGAGTGTAATGGTGGTTGCTTTTTCCACCCAGAGAACCAATGTTTGATGCCAGTATCAGTATCCCCAAATAGGGTAAAGGTACATGAAAGCTCCCAGAGTAGGCAGGGACTAAGAGGTAGACTTCTTCACCCTAGGCCAGCAAAGACAGCAAACCTGATAGAGCCAAGGACCCAACTGAACATACCACCATCAAGGTGCTGGCATCCCCGGGGCAAAGCCCTAAAAACGTTCCTTAATAATCACAAAGTCCTGAAGAGTCACAGGGCTAGAGATGCTCCTGGCTCCCAAATTTTTATCAGGATGGCAAAACATTCATCTGGGCTAAACCATATCAAGGAATATTACCAGAAAAGCCTAACTAAAAAGCAAATGAGGATCAACCTAGACCAGGATATAAAGATCTCAGAGGCACTGGAGCTTTACCCACCACTGCTAGAGGATACTTACATCAGGAAGCTATCTTGTTCAGCATTCAGACGGGCTAGGAACCTCCTTCTGACTTCCATCACCTGCAAAGCACACCTACGTGCTGGAACATCTCCCGGTATCAAGAAGCACCCAGTTGGGAAAAACTGGCCTCCCGCAGACTGCACTTTAAGTGGGCAGAACAGACAGGACTGGAACACTTGCTTGTTTCCCAGCTACGTTTCTTGACGCAGAAAGACCTCTTGTTCCTCCTGCATGGTAAAAAATGCACACCAGCACTATGACAATGTCCAGTAATATCTGTATCTGGATACCTGTCCAGGGAACGATCCCTCAAAATAGAAGGAACCACCTGTTTTGAACTCCAAAAATGAAGACAGGCGACAAGGTTCTCTGATGAAAACCTTCCAGAAAGTAAAGAAGACATCTTCGCCAACCCCTGAAGACTGGGGTTCCTACAAGACAATCTAGTCTGCTTCGAAATTTGATCTCCAAAAACGGCAGAGGAAAATGTCTGAGGTAGTCTAAAAACAGACCTGGGTAAGGAGGGTGCCTTGAAGAGGATAACCCCTCAACCCAATTGTACAACTGTTGAAAAACAAGTCAATCCGTGGCCAAGGGAAAGGGATGTGAGAGCAACGAAGCTGTAGATTACGCTACAACAGAACTATTCAGGTTATTCTGCCTACAGACAAAGCTTTCAGTGCCACTTTCAGACAAAACCCAGTCTTGGGAGACATTTGTACCATCAGGAAGACCTTGTCTACTAGGGCCCCATGACCACTATTCTCTTCACAAGGTCATCTGAGTGTCCCACAGTTTGGAGTGTCATAAGAAGGCACTGGGGTCAACTACCTATAGAAAAAAAAAACTCAAGGTGCAGGGGCAAGACTGGAGAGTTGGAACCCTGGGAGAACCAAAAATCAGTAAATAGGCTTTTCAGCTGACCATGATGGTCAGAGTGTCTCTCTGGGAAGGAACATGGTAGGTAAATCTGCTGGATACCATACAAAAAACTGTTGGATTTGCATGTCCCTAAAGACAGTTTTCCCAGGTTGGTACAGGAGTTAGAACAAAGATCTTTTGTTCCAGGAGACCCCAAAAAGGCACAGATGGAGTAGGTCTGCTAGTCTGTGTGGTCACATAAGAAGGATGACAGCAAGGGTTCAGTCTGTAAACCTAAGTTGGTAGTGTGCACCTAAAATGTCTGAAGGGCAAACTACTCATAAGTCATTGGTACTCCATGAAAGATCCACCATTGTAGTAAAAGATCTCGATTTAAGGATTTGGCCAATTCCGCCACAGTCTGAGCAAATAAAGTCACAGCCCGAACAGTGTTAAGATTGAAGCCTGCCAGCCAGAACTGAATTTTAATAAGGGAGTTTTAACTATCTGTAGAATTCTTGGATTTGAGGACACCCTCTAACCTAGGTTTCAGTGGCAGATCCACATTCAGTATAGACCAACATTTAGCAAGATCCTTCCCAAACAAGAACAAAACCAGTGGGGTTTACAGGATCCATTATCAGGGTGTTTACAATCCCCATAAAGATTTACCCCAAAAGGCAGGTGTAATAGGAGGGTCTATTCTGCTCCTAAAGATCAAAGACTGGAAACAGCAGGCTTATCCTTTATCGATGCAGTATGTGGCACTCTGCATTTAAATGCCAAAAGAGGATTTCAAACCTGTGGACTTCAATTCCTCAAAGAAAGTGGCCATCGACCAACGTGACCATTTTTGTTTCTTGGTCTTCCCTGACAACAAACTACCTCTAAAGCTGCAGCCAGAACAGCAATAGACTTTGTGAAACTGTGGCCACATCCTCGCTAGTCCTGACTGGGAGGTTCTCAGTGCTTTCCTACACCTTCCCCTGCAAAGTCTGTTGTGACTGTAGTAGAGGCCCCAGTCAAGCTAAGGATAACTCCCATGATGAGGTAGACACAATAATCTTGGAGTTACAGTACCTTTGTTCAGGAGAAGTTTGTTCTGTATTTTCCAGCTAGGGGAGCGTGAACTGGGGTTACCCATTACACAACTGAACCCTTACATCCATGTCTAGAAATGGACATGCAGCAGCCATGTGGCAGTAAGGGAACCAAGCTGAGAGGCTAAGGCCTCAGGTACTCACAAAACTCAAACATCTGGTGAGGGTTGGATGGCTAGAGGTGACTAAATCACTGTCGCTGG